TGTTTATGGACTCCACCCCACCTCCATTTCAAAGAGACCCAGGCACCTCATACTATTCCCATCATGCCATGGATCTGCCATAACCCTTGATTTCTTGAAAGGGACTGCTGGGAACAAAGGGTGGAGTTAAGCAACCATGTTTGATAGAAAAGGTAGGACATATGGTTTTACCTGCCTTCAGCACGTACTGAAGGGGTCCCAGCTAAGGCAGCATTACCAGTAGGATGTATTGACCCAATAATCTCTCTATCTCTCTCACTTTCTGTGCTCCCCCTCCTTTCATTTCCCACGTAAACAAACCTTTTATTAACCTTTCTATGTGTGCCCGCTCTTGTGTCTTATTCTGAGTTGCTTTTTTAAGCACTGAGGACTCACACCCAGGCCATCCCATTTCCCTTTGGGGCTGTCCTATTGTTATAGGACAGGGAGAGGGGCAGCCCAAACCCCGCAAACCTGCCTATTCTAAATGGGTTCTGCCATCCGCCGCATCAACACAAAACATATGACACTTTAATGGGAAGGATCTTTAATAAAAACTAGGAAACAATACAGGTGAGGCAAAGAGTCTAGTTTCTAAATGAAGCACCCAAAGTTACCCATCCCCTCGTGGGTAAAACTCCATCCATATGGGGTCGGCCCAGAGCAAGGCCCCAAAGCCTGCCACAAGTCTAAAACATTTTCCAGTGGGGACCCACAGAAAAGGGTCACAAACAACAGGACAAGCCCGGAAGGAAAAGAGCAAAATCAACATCCAGATAAAAGCTGCCATTGTCACCTCCCCACGGGTCTCACCCACATCTGTGTCACCCAGTCCACGACCAAAAGACAAGCGCAGTTTCTTCACATGTCTCTAGGCTCCATGCGCCTCCTCCAGGTCTCCTGGCTCCATCTTGCTTCCTTCCTTCCTCAGTCTCTTCTTCTCCTTTTCCTCCTCCTGCTCAGCTCCACCCTCCCTTGGGTGGGGCAGGGAACCTCCCCCTTTCCTGGGACCACCCTGTTACACTATTGTTATAGGGCAGCCCCGATATTGAACGGGTTGCCTGGCTGTGGGTCCTCAACTGCGCGCTTACAAGGGACTTATTAATACTCCACTACAGGCACACACAAAAGGTTAATAAAAGGTTTATTTACAAGGGAAAGAGAAATGAGGAAATGTCCAACTCAGGGAGAAAATAGGGAAATAAAGTCTTTAATGCGTCCTACCCGATCCGCTGACCTGAAAACCCAAAGTCACTCTCAGAGCTGGCCGGCCGCTGGGAGCTGGCGGAGAGTCAAAATGGGGGACCCCTCCAAAGCCCACGTGTCTGGCTTTATACCAACCTGGCTGCTTAACCCCACCTTCAGGTCCCAGCCACCTTCCCTTTGGTGGTGATGGGATTGATTTGGAGTTACCAGTGTCTTTGGCTTTGGCCTGGGGTGGGGATGGAGTCCACAAAGCCTGTATGGAATTAGCTTTAGGACATCCTTTTCCCCCTAACACTATAACAAATATATGTGCTCTTTTGAAACAGGAATTCCACTTAAAGGGGTTTATCAGAGGAAAAGAAAAACACAACACTACATATCCAGAAAAATTTAGTTGAAAGGCTACAGCATAGTGGTATTGGTCAAAAATTTTTGATGCAAGAATTCCCCGGTGGAGCAAGGGGGTAAGTCTCAGCACTGTCAAGCTATCGGCAGCCACTGCAGCAGGAGTTTGACCCCTGCATAGGGAGATAACATCACACGGTAGACCTCTCCTGTTCTTACCTGCTGCTCCCTTAAGCAGTATATTTCAGTAGATCTGTTAGGGGAAAAAGGATGTCCCAAAGCTAATTCCATATAGGCATTTTCCTTATTTCCTTTTCTCTTGTAAATAAACCTTTTATTAACCTTTTGTGTGTGTGTGTAGTAGAGTATTCATAAGTCCCTTTAAAGCGCGCGGGTGAGGACCCACAGCCAGGAACCCGTTTTAATATCGGGGTTGCTCTATAACAGATCTACCTGTTCTGCTTCCCACTCTATCTCTGATGAGTCCTCTCACACACACACACACACACACACACACACACACACACACACACACCCCGCCCCGGCCGCCGTACCTCTGGCCTACACTCCAGCTCTTGTATGCATAAATAAATAAAAATTTTTTTAGTTGCAATTTTAAAATAGGAGGTTTTGTTTCATAAGGACTATGGCAGTGTTTTATTTCTGAACTGTCTGATACTCAACAAGAACAAAACCTGTGCAGGGCTTCGCTGGTGGCTATCCACAGTCTCTGCAGCACAAGTTCTATCCCAGCTGGCCAGGGAGCAACCCATATGGCACAGCAGAACTCTCCTGTCTCACCCGCTGCTCCCCTCAGCAGTGTGTTTCAGTCAATCTGTCTGTTCTGCTCTCCGCTCTGGTGAATCCTCTTAGGACCCCTCCACCCTGCCCCGCACCTCTGGCCTATACCCTAGTTCATATATGCATAAATTAAATTTTTTTTAAAAACCCGTGTAAAAAAACAACAACAACAAGACAACAGGTCCCAAGTGGAATGACACTAAAACTGAGATTTATTTAACTCATACAGTTTTGCCTCTCCTAAAAATGTAATCCTAAACCAGTCAATTAGAAATCAACTGGTTAACAGCTAGTGAGGTAATCTGCTAATTGATCCCTGCCATTCACTAAAGGGAAGTGATCTAACCACAACCAACCTACTTTTTGCTACTATAATTTCCTTGTTCCTACTCCTGTCTGCCTATAAGAGATACACTTTGTACAGCTCCTCAGAGTTCTTTTCTATGTACTAGGTTGGAGGATGCCCAATTCATGAATCATTGAAAAAGTCAGTTAGATCTTTAAAACTAAGTCAGTTGAACTTTTTAAAACACATATCAGACAAAATGATTAAAAAAGACAAAAATGGAAGAATCTGAAAAGAAAGGCATACCAGAAAAATAGAAACATTACAAATCTTAATAGCTGACAACATACATTTCAGGCAAAAAACTTAAAAAAAATAAACAAGTACTTTTTAATGCTAAAGATTATACTTCACTGTGAAAACTTAAATTATGAATATCTATGTGCCAAATAATACAGCAGGAACTTGCATATAACAGAAACTATAGAGAGATAAAAGAAATACACTAATAATAGAAGACTATGATTCACCTTTCCCAAAACAGATCAAGTGGTCAAAAATAAATAAGTCAAGGGCCTCCCCGGTGGCGCAGCGGTTGAGTGCTGGGCTGCTCCCCGGCCACCGGAGGAGGGCCCCACATGGCGCGCAGACCTCTCCTGCCACCCACTGCTCCCCTCAGCAGTGTACTTCGGTCCTTCTGCCAGCTCTGCACCCCGCTCTGGCTCTGGTGAATTCTCTCACCCTCCCGCGCTTCTGACTATACCCAGTGCATGTATAAACAAACAAACAAACAAACAAAATATAAATAAATAAAACATGCCTCTACAAAATAAATAAATAAATAAATAAATAAAATTTATTATAAATAAATAAATAAATAAGTCAAGACAACAGTATCAAAAAGTACATGTTATTAATATGTATCAAACACTGTACCTTGAAAACAGAGAATATACTTTATTTTCAAGTTCTCTGTAAGAGTTGTACATATATAGGGCTTCCCTGGTGGTGCAAGAAGTCTCAACACTATGATCCTATCCACAGCCACTACAGCACAAGTTAAATCTCTGGCCAGGGAGGTAACCCACATGGCACAGCAGACCTCTCCTGCCTCACCCGCTGCTGCCCTCAGCAGGGTATTTCAGTCAATCTGCCTGTTCTGTTCCCCACTCTATCTCTGGTGAATCCCCTCACCCCCCACACCTCTGGCCTGTACCCCAGTTCTTGTATGTATAAATAAATAAAATCTCTTTTTAAAAAAATAAATAAATCTTTAGAACAGAAACCAAACCTCATTAAATTCCCACCATAAAAATAATATATAGCATTCTATAATAACATAATAAGCATTGACATTTGTAACATATTCAGAAAACAAAATTGCCCTTCTATTTGGGCATGTGATGGGGTCTATATTAAATAACTCCATGAGCAAAAAGAAAATAAAATTTCAAAATTGTAGAATTTCTAGAAAATAATAATGAATGGACCCTAGAATAGGACCTATAAGTAGAGCTAGTACTCATAGGAAAATTCATAGCCTTAAATAATTATATCAAATAAATGAATTAAACAGCTGGCTTAAAAAGCTGGAAAAAAGATTAAATACATCAAAAGAAAGCAAAAGAAAACGTGATTAGAGGTAGAGAAATTAGTTAATATAAGCATATAGTAGAACATGAATAAATAAGTTTGTTCTTTGAGAAAATTCAGTAAATTTAGAAAGCAACAGCTACATTAATGTAAAAAAGAGGAAATGTACAAATAACCAAAATAAGAAATTACAGGTGAGCATACAATTATAAATCAGAGACATTCTGCAGGGGAGGGAGAGGTGGAGGGATCAAAACAAGGGAGGGAAGAGCACAAGGGACTATGGTGATGATGCATAGGTGAACTGGTGGTAGAAATTCTATGGAGACTATATCTGAGAAAAGAAATCAAACAGTGTAAAAAAATGAGAAATGATGTAAAAAAATATAAATAAATAAATGGGGATAAAAAAGGAGATTACAAGTGAGAAACAGTCACACCAACATTAGAAAGTAAAAAACAAAACAAAGGCGAACAAAACAACATAAGAGAATACCATACTTTTATGCAAATAAATTTGAAAAACCTATATAATACCATACTTTTATGCAAATAAATTTGAAAAACCTATATAAAGTGCAGTTTTCTCAAAATTAGAAATAGAAAGCTAAAATAGACCAATTTGCATAAAATAAAGGTGTGTTAAAATTATTTAAATAACATATGCATAATTATAATATGCATAGGTATAAGTAACTTAAATAATTTTATCAAAATAATTTGACATTTGTCAAATACCTCTCCCCTCCAAAAAAACTAATAAACATCAGAATTCTATAATTCCACTGACCTTTAAAAAATAGATGATTCCAGTACTTTTTAAAATGCCCGATAACCTAGAAAATGAAGAAAACTTTACATGAAGTTACAAGAAAATTTTTTAAAAAGCAAATATAAGTACATTGATACTAAAATATACTAAGGATCACAAGAATAAAGGGAAAAAGTAGGTCAATCTCATTTATAAATATCAATGCAAAATCTTAAAATTTTAGCAAACAGAATCCAAAAGCACACTGAAAGAATAATATATTATGATCTAATGGAATTTATTCTGACAATGGAAATGAGATTCAATAGTGGGAAGTCTACTATATAAATCTTCATATTAATGGTTCTAAATAGAAAAGTACATGATTATCTTTATAACTATTAAAAGTATATATGAATAAAATTACTTATTTTTTATTAAAACAATATATTTAGTAAATGGAAATTAATGGCTATTTCTTCAAATTGGAAAAAAAAAATTTTTATCAGAAAAGCAACAGTTGGGGCCTCCCTGGTGGTGCAAGGGGTTAAGATGCAGCACTATGAAGCTATCCACAACTGCTGCAGCAACAGTTTGATCCCCTGCCAGGGAGGTGACCCACATAGTGCAGCAGACCTCTCCTGTCTCACCTGCTGCCCCCCTCAGCAGTGTATTTCAGTCAATCTGACTGTTCTGTTCCCCACTCTGTCTCTGGTGAGTCCTCTCACCCCCATCTCTGGCCTGTACCCCAGTTCTTGTATGCATAAATAAATACATCTTTTTTTTTTTTTTTAAATTACAGTTACAAATTCTTTTACCTTGTATTCAAAAGTTGATTCTAATTCTCTTTCTTTTGAATGTATACTGGACTTAGTAACTCAATTCTAATGAGGAGAATTAGTTAAAAGTGGTGGTATGTGACATGTGTCCTATGAGTCTCAGTCATAAAAGATATTGTGGCTTCTGTCTTGCTCTTTCTTGGTTCACCTACTCTGAAGGGAGACTCCTGCTAGGTGAGGGAGGACGCTCAAGCTGCCCTGTGGAGATGGCTCTGTGATGACATGTCCAGTAGGTTCATTCACTGAGAATTCTTTCCTATTTGCATCCTCACAGCATCATTAATTGACCATAGGCAGTGGGCTGTAAAAAAGGGAGAAAACCAAGAAAAGGACTAGAGGGATTGAAAAGGACTTCATGTAACATTTATTTTTCTTTAAAGTTTTTTTCTTGGGCCTCCCTGGTGGCACAAGGGGTTAAGACACAGCACTATGAAGGTGTCTGCAGCCACTGCAGCATGAGTTTGATTCCGGGCTGGCCAGGGAGCAGCCCACATGGCACAGCAGACCTTGCCCGCTGCTCCCCTCAGCAGTGTACTTCAGTCAATCTGCCTGTTCTATTCCCCACTCTGTCTCTGGTGAATCCTCTCACCCCCCATACCTCTGGCCTGTACCCCAGCTCTTGTATGCATAAACAAAAATAAATTTTTTTTAAAAAAGTCTTTTTCTTCATTTAGAGAGATATCATTTGCCAAACACTATTCTAGAATGTGTATTTGTAACTGAGTTTTATATTGCATGGTGAAAGCCTTCCACACTGTTTGACAATGAGGGATGCTGCTTATGATTCATCACATGTAATGCACATAACTGGTAGGTTACATCTGGTGTAGCTGCTCAGTCCTTACATTTCACCAAATCATCTAAGCCAGATACTGTGCCATATACCATGTTCTACACTATCAAATATAAAAAAAAAAATTCTCCATTTCAGGAAACATATACTCATCAGGAATCATCTAAACATTTCTATTTGGGGAGATGGGAGTGGAGAAGAGGAGCTTGATTCATCTTTTGCCTCCAACTTCTGATATTGGTGATAAATTTGGTAAAACCAGCATCAGAGATCAAGCCAATACATCTAAATTAGCTAAAGAAACATGGATGGCGCTGGAAGGGATCATGCTCAGAGAAATAAGTCAGAAAGAAAAAGAAAAATACCGGATGGTCTCACTCATAGCAGGAATCTAGAAAACTTGAATAAGGGACCAGGAAAATGAATAACTATAAGAAAGAAAATATCAAAATCAACAAACAACTATAAACCAGAGACACTCTGTTGGGGGTGGGGGGCAGGGGGCGGGGAAAGGACGGCTTGGGGTCAAAATAAGGGGGCTGTAATTGTAAGGGGAATATAAAAATAAAATTTAAATAATGATAATAATAAAATAAATTAACTAAAGAATTGATAACTAGGATCCTCCGTGGTGGCGCAAGGGGTTAAGTCTCCCCACTCTGCCTCTGGTGAATCCTCTCATGCCCTGCACCTCTGGCCTACACCCCAGCTCTTGTATGCATAAATAAATGAAATAAATATTTTTAAAAATCAATAAATTATGCTCTCTAAGACTGTTTTGAATTAACAGGCCCCTCTTTTATATTTGTCATAGCTTGGTAAACTTTGATTTTGACAGGTGGAAGGGATGACTATGCTCACCAAAGGATTTGCAAACTGATATGTTATCATTTTCTAGTATAGTATGCAATCTGGCTTTACACTCTCTTATTTCACACTTCCAGTAAGTTTTATCACCGTATTTTTATAATATAAAAAGTTGAAACCAAACTGTCAAACCAAACTGTCAACCAGTTATTTTATCTTTTACAGCAAAACTGCCTTAACAGTCAATTAGTTATGGGGCAAAAAAAATGTAGTGAAAATGCTTATGGAAAAGAATTGATGATGAAACTACTTAGAACCCCTATGAAGAGGTCCATGTAGTGAGAAACTGAGACCTGTGCCAAACAGACAAGTGGGTGGGCCCTCTCGGCGTTGGGTCATCCAGCCCCTGCAAGCCTTCACGTAAAAGAAGCCAAAAATGTACTGAAACTTCATCAGAGACCCTGAGCCAGAATCCCTCAGCTAAGCCACTCCTAAATTCCTACTTCATAGAAATAAGCATATAAATGCTTATTTGTTTTAAAGATTTATTTATTTATGCATACAAGAACTGGGATACAGGTCAGAGATGTGAAGGGTGAGAGGATTCACCAGAGACAGAGTGGGGAGCAGAATAGGCAGATTGAGTGAAAACACTGCTAAGGGGAGCAGTGGGTGAGTCAGGAGAGGTCTGCTGCGCCAGGGGGTAGCTCCCTGGCCAGTTGGGGATCAAACTGGTGCTGCAGAGGCTGTGATAGCTTCATAGTGCTGTGCTTAACCCCTTGCACCACCAGGGAGGCCCTAAATGCTTATTGTTTTCAGTCACTTAGCATTGAGTAATTTTTTATACAGTGATATAACTAATATAGAAGTCAAAATAAAGTCCTTTTTAAGTTGACAAATATGAGCCTGCCACAGCAGAGCTTTACTAAATGGAAATGCTAACAAATTTTTCAGGTAGAAGGAAAATGAAACCAGATGAACATTAAGAAATAGAGGAGTAAAGAACAAATAAAATGGTAAATATGTGTATAAATCTAATGTTCCATTGACTTTAAATACACCACAAAACAAGACCTTAATAAAGGAGAGATATTTCATGTTTATGAATTGGAAGATTCCATATTGTTAAGATGTTAATTGTTCCCAAATTGATCTATATAACCCTAGTTAAAATCTCAACAGCCTATTTACCTAGAAATTGAAAATGAAAGCCAAAATTTGATTTGAAAAGAGAGTAAAATAGCCACAACAATTTTGTAAAGGAACATAGAGGACTCAATTTAAGTGATCTTAAAACTCACTATAAAGCTTCATCTGGGATTGGCAAACTATGGCTGATGACCTAAATCTAGTGTGCAGCCTGTTTTTGTAAGGCTCATAAGTTAAAAGTGCTTTTTATATTTTTAAATGATCGAAAAAAGAAAGAAGATTATGCAACAGGAATTATATGGAGTCCACCCTTTACAGAAAAATGTAACTACAGAAAAATATGTGCTAACGCCTGAGTTACAGTAATGAAAACAGTATAGTATTGGCAAAAGGCTAGACACATAGATCAGTGGAACAGAATAGAGTCCAGAAATACACACTCACACACACACACACACACTTTTTAAATTGAGATAACATTAGTTTACAACACTGTACACTCTATGAATAGTTTCTCACCCCGGCAATTGTATTTATCTCACCACACCCACTACTAAATTCCAGTCACCATCTACCACCAACCATTCAGCCCCTTTTACCCATTTCCAACTCACTCCTTCTCCTCTGGTACCCCCCCATTCTGCTGTCAGATCTAAAGGATTGTTTTTCACACACATTGATTTTTTTTTAATTATTTTTATTTATTTATGCATATAAGAGCTGGGGTGTAGGCCAGAGGTGCAGGGGGTGTAAGAGGATTCACCAGAGACCTCTAGAGACCAGAGACCAGGATCACCTAGGGATCCACTGAAACACTCCACTGAAACACACCGCTGAGAGGAGCAGCAGGCAAGACAAGGGAGATCTGCAGCATCTTGTGGGTTAGCTCCCTGGCTGGGGACCAGAACTTGTGCTGCAGTGGCTGCCTATAGCTTGATAGTGCTGAGACTTAACCCCTTGCCCACCAGGGAGGCCCATGCACATTGATTTTTTAACAAAGGTATTAAGTTAAATGGGAGGGAAGAGTTTACCCTTTTGAACAAATTATACTGGGCCAATTAGATAAAGATATGGAAGAAAGAAAAAGAAAAGCTGAACTTATATTGGGAGACAAATATATATATTAAATTTATATATATTAAATATATAACTTATATTGGGAGGCACTAAGGGCCTCCCCAGTGGTGCAGCGGTTGAGCGCTGGGCTGTGAAGCTGCCCACAGCCTCTGTAGCACCGGCTCGATCCCTGGCCACAGGGCGAGGGTCCCACATGGAGCGCAGACCTCTCCTGCCACCCGCTGCTCCCCTCAGCAGTGTACCTCAGTCCTTCTGCCTGCTCTGCTCCCCGCTCTGGCTCTGGTGAATTCTCTCACCCTCCCGCGCTTCTGACTGTACCCAGTGCTTGTGTAAATAAATAAATAAATAAATCTTAAAAAAAAAAAAAAAAAGTTAGGCACTAAGTGCTCTTTTGTTCCAGGCTATCTTTTCAAGATATTTATCCTATGAAACAGCCTAGTGATAGTGTTTACCTCCAGAGCAAATAGCAAGTTTGTTTACTGTCTAGATAAAAGAGATAATGCATTGCTCTGGGGGAAAGGTTGCGCAGGTTTGTTTGTAGTCCTTTATAAAAGATTGATACTCCCTAAGCTTGGAGTTCCTCAGGTGCCATACAAACCCACTGTGTGTACCTGTTTGTGCTTCAACCACTTGGGTCTTTGGCATAGCCCCTGTGTGACTTGGGGCACATGAAGACCCAATGCAAACATGAAGTTCATGCTGCTTCCTGCGCTCTGAATTATTAAGTTCTTTGTCTCTTAGGTGTCATGTCTTTTTGACAGCATTCCGTGAAACTGTAGCAGGGTAACTTAATCACTTGCAAATAGCCTAAAGTCTTATATCCTTTATCATTCTTCAGAACTTAAACCTTGCATCATATATAAAAATTAACTGGAAATGAATTATAGACCTAAATGTAAAACCTAAAATCATAAAACTTATAGGAGAAAATCTTTACGTCACTGGGTTAGACATAGATTTCTTAGCTAAGAACAGGAAATGATTCAAAGAAAAATGAAATTGGATTTCACCAAAATTAAAAACCAAGATATTGTTAGGAATTTTAGGGCAGTAAAACTACCCTGTTCGTTATGATAGTAATGAACACGTGTCCTTATTCATTTGTCAAAAACCACATAATGTACATTACCAAGAGTGTACCTTAATGTAAACTATGGTCTTGAGTGATAATGATGTATCAATGTAACAAACGTACCACTCTGTTGATGATGGGGGAGCTATGTGTATGAGGGGGTGAGAAAGGGGATATGGAAACTCTCCATACTTTGTACTCAACACTGCTGCAAACTTAAAACTGCTCTAAAAATTAAAGTTTATTTTCAAGAGAAGGCAAGTGATCTGAACAGACATTTCTCTATAAAGATATACCAAGAGGCACATTGTAGAGGCAAGATGGCCACTGAGCAGGTTTCTCTATGATGCGAGCAGACCGGGTAAAGGAGAGTCCTGGAGCCCTCAGTGGCTTTCATTGAGCTTTACATGTAGTGTGGTAAACAGATACACGGCAGGCAGGGGCACCAGGGTGCCAGGAGGCCAGCATGCCTCCAAGCCCCCAGCAAGTCTTCACTCTGGGCTTCTCTGGCCTTTTTTCTCCCCTCCTCTCTCCTGCCACTCTCTGGCTTCTGCTTCTCTCAGTGACTAACTCAATACCCCTCCCATGGCCCACAGAAGTAAAGAAGACAGTTTACAACAATTTAACAACTGCAGGTGCCCCCTCAGGCAGGGCAATCCTAATGGTGGGAGGGCAGAAAAGCCTGAAAACCATTTACCCTGCACACATGAAAGATCTCAACAGCATTAGTTATTAGGGAAAAACAAAACAAAATCAGATACCATTGAGATAACAATGAGAGATACCATTTTGTACTCACTAAAGTGACTATAGTTAAAAAAATGAAAAATAATGTGTTGGCAATGTTAAAAAATTGGAACTCACATAGATAGCTGATAGGAATGTAGAGTGGTGGAGATACTGTGTAAAACAATCTATCACTTCCTCAAAAAGTTAAACACAGACTCGGCAATCAACTATATATCCAAGAAAATGGAAAACATATGTCTCCACACAAACTTGTACACGAATGTTCATAGCAGCATTATTCATATAAACCAAATGTCCAGGAACTGATGATAGGGTAAACAAAATGATGTCTACTATAATTTAGAATGTCATTCAATCATAAAATTGAATGAATTGCTGATACATACTTCAATATGGAGTCCAGATTCCCATTTCTGGGTTAGCCTCTCAGGTAACCAAGAATTTTTTATTTATTTTTATTTTATTTTTAAAGATTTATTTATGCATACAAAAACTGGGGTCTAAGGGCCTCCCCGGTGGCACAGTGGTTAAAGACACAGCACTGTCAGGTTGTGGCCACTGCCACCCTCCAGGGAGCTGACCCATATGGCACAGCAGACCTCTCCTGACTCGTCTGCTGCTCCCCTTAGCAGTGTATTTCAGATCTGCCTGTTCTGCTCCCCACTCTGTCTCTGGTGAATCTTCTCGGCCCCTGCACCTCTGGCCTACACCCCAGCTCTTGTATGCATAAATAAAATAGTTAAAAAAAAAACAACCAGACATTTTATGATTCCATTTATATAAAAAAATCCAGAGTAGGAAATTCATAGAGGCAAAAAGTAAATTAGTTGTTACCAGTGATTAGAGGGAATGGGAAGCAATTACTCACGAGTATGGATCTTCCTTTGGGGCTGATGAAAATATTCTATGTTTAATTTGTGTTGATGAGTTAAGTACACTGAAATAATTGAATTATAAAGAATATATGTTAAATGGTAAATTTTACCTCATTCAGGGTGTTTTTTTAAATTTATTTTTATTTTTAAAGATCTATTTATTTGTGCATACAAGAACCTGGGTATAAGCCAGAGGTGTGGGGGGTGAGAGGATTCACCAGTGACAGAGTGGGGAGCAGAACAGGCTGACTGACTGAAATACACAACTGAGGGGTACAGCAGGAGAGTCAGGAGAGGTCTGCTGCGCCATTTGGGTCACCTCACTGGCCGGGGATCCAACTCCCTGCAGTGGCTGTGGATAGCTTCATATGCTGAATCTCAAGCTCTCATGACACCAGGGGGGTCCTCATTCAGGATGTTTATAAAAAAGAAAGATGAGGTAGAAAAACTGCCCCTTGTCTACATAAGTATGTACTCCACTCTGAATCATAAAAAAAAGTTAGAAACATAAACTGAGTAGTAATTGGACTTGCCACAGAGTCTCAAAAGATGTTAATACCAATGAATATTTTTAGAATTCACATTTTGAAAGTATAATGCTTACAATTTTATATTAAAAATACTTTTTTTAAAGTGCACTTCTGTGTTCTTATAACCTCCATGCATGTCTGAATGTTTGTGTATACGCAAATATACATACATATGTATATATAAGTCACTGTGAAATTTGATGCTCAATAAGCTAGTTGCTTAGTTAGCCTTTTCCTGCCATTAGCTGAATTAGCTGTTTAGTTGCAGCTGCTGGTCAGAGCCCAGCTTCTCATTTCTGGGCCAGCCACTCAAGTGACCAACAATTTGGTTCAGAGAAACTTCAGTAATGTTAAGTGCTTCTCAATGTTTGATCAGCTGCAGCAGGAATCAGAATTGTCTGTAGTCTTGACCCTGAGCATCCCGTGATAGATCTGGGAATCTTATTTTTAACAAGCTCCTCAGGGGATGTGATCTGCACTCAATTCTGGGAGTCCTAGCTCTGGGCACCTATTCCTGTTTGCTGTGGGAAAGCTGAGCCTGTCTTTGGTATTATGGTCCTGCTCACACTCTGCTATTTGCCTAAGAGTTAGCATCCCTTCTTATAAGGAACAATAATGGAACATCACTGAAGGTGGTGCTGCATCTGTAAGGGCCGGCTACTCTTCAGACTGCCCACTATTTCCATTCTGTATGGCAGTGTTTCAGCCTGCTGGGGCCCTGATGTCCCAAGAGAAGCTGTAGGAGATAGCTGGCTCTGCCTTTGAGTCCCATTCACAATGTAGGACCTGGACTGGAGCCCTGGATCCTGAATTCTAGGCTTAGCTTTGTACTGTAACCCCACATTTGATGGGAAATGATGGAGAAGCCTACTAGGTCAAACATCTCTCAAAGCTGACAGAAGCACAAGTGATTTCACAGTTACTGTATTTGAATGCTTTCCAGAAGCGGGAAATTCACAGTGGGTCAGCTACCCGACCTTAAAACAGACAGCAGTCAGCTAAACACCCTTAGGTTCGGACCTCCCCGGTGGCGCAGCGGTTGAGCGCTGGGTTGCGAAGCTGCCCGCAGCCTCTGTGGCGCCGGTTCAATCCCTGGCTGCTCCCCAGCCACCGGAGGAGGGTCCCACATGGTGCGCAGACCTCTCCTGCTGCCCGCTGCTCCCCTCAGCAGTGTACCTCGGTCCTTCTGCCTGCTCTGCTCCCCGCTCCGGCTCTGGTGAATTCTCTCACCCTCCCGCACTTCTGACTGTACCCAGTGCTTGTAAAAATAAATAATAATAATAATAAAAAAAAAGAATAGTACTGGAAAAATGATATTAAAAAAAAAACCACCCTTAGGTTCAACTGTTCATTTCCTCTGGACATATCCATTCTGGTTCATTCTAACCTTTTTTAAAGATTTATTTTTATTTGTTTATGCATAAAAAAACTGGGGTATAGGCCAGAGGTGGGTGGCGGGGAGGATTCACCAGAGACAGAGTGGGGAGCTGAAGAGGAGGATCTACTGAAATAAACCATTGAGGCGGGCAGCTGGGGAGACAGGAGAGTTCTGCTGTGCCATATGGGTCATCTCCCTGGCTTGGGATCGAACTCATGCTGCAGTTGGCTGCGGAAAGCTTTATAGTGTGAGACTTAACCCCTGCACTACCAGGGGGGCCCCTCATTCTTACATCTTTTGGAAACATAGGTGTTACTGCTCTGGTTACAATTCTTCAGTGGTTTTGTTAGGGGGAAAAGGATGTCCCAAAGCAAATTCCATATAGGCTTTGTGGACTCCACCCCCACCCCAGGTCAAAGCCAAAGACACTGGGAACTCCAAATCCCATCACCACCAAAGGGAAGGTGGCTGGGACCTGAGGGTGGGGTTAAGCAGCCAGGTGGATACAAAAGGCAGACACGTGGGCTTTGGGGCCCCCCATTTTGGCTCTCCACCAGCTCGCAGCGTCCTGCCAGCTCTGAGAGTGACTTTGGGTTTCCAGGTCGTCGGATCGGGTAGGACGCATTAAAGACTTTATTTCCCTATTTTCTCCCTGAGTTGTACATTTTCCTTATTTCCTTTTCTCTTGTAAATAAACCTTTTATTAACCCTTTTGCGTGTGTCTGTAGTAGAGTATTCATAAGTCCCTTTAAAGCGCGCGGGTGAGGACCCACAGCCAGGAACCCGTTTAATATCGGGGTTGCTCTATAACAGCTTGGCGCCCAACGTTTAATATCGGGGTTGCTCTATAACAGTTTCCCAACCCTCTTAAGCTCACAATCCCTACGAAGACCTGTCCTTGCTGATCTTTGCAGCCCTCTCTCCTCCACAGTGCCTGTCACAGATGTGCAAATCTCTTACAAGCCAGGTTCTCTCTGGCCACGGCCTACTCCTCTTTATGTAGTTAACTTCTGTTCATCCCTCAGCTCTCCAATTTCATTTCCCTGACCCCACGTCTGAGGTTCTCTGCTTATTCATGCTCCTCACACTCTGAGCCTCGCTTTGTAAATATGTGTCAGTGTTAAATTTCTCTTCAGTGCTTATCGCACTTATGTCTGCCTCCTCCTGCAGACAGGGAAGTTGCTTAGAGCAGGGCTCTGAGTTTGCTCTCACTGCATCCCAGCACCTAGTGGAAGGTCTGGCGGGTATTTAATTGGATGAATGACTCGTTCTCAGAAGGGGGACCACAACCTGGGTGGGGTGTCGAGAGTGCTGGGAGCGGGTCCAAGACAGAGCCGGGCAGCTACTCACTACTCACATAAAGTCCTCAGAAGTGAGGGCATCTGTCTGCGGCCATGCCCGGGGCGAGGCGGTGTCAGGGACCCGACAGGGCAAGGATACACATGCGGCTGCCGACTGGGCAGGGGCGGCCGGTTCTGTGTTGGGGGGCCTCAGTTGCCCCAAGGAGTCCCGCGGGGTGGACAGAGAACCGCCCCTGCGGCCCCTGAGGAGACTCGCCAGGCCCGCGCGGCGGAAGCCGCGACGAGGGGCCGCGCGACGTCAGCCCGCCGCGCCCGGCGAGGGCGCTCCAGCCCGGTCCTCCAGAGCAGTCGCGCGCAGCCGCGGCCCCTCTAGCCGCCGAGGGGAGGCGCAGTGTATGTAGGGAAGGCGGCGGGCCGGTCGGCTCTCGGAGACTGCGTGCGCCATGGTGGGGGGCGAGACGGCCGCCGCGGTGGAGGAGCTGGTTTCTGGGGTGCGGCAGGCGACCGACTTCGCGGAGCAGTTCCGCTCCTACTCGGAGAGCGAGAAGCAATGGAAGGCCCGCATGGAATTCATCCTGCGCCACCTGGCCGACTACCGCGACCCGCCCGACGGCGGCGGCCGCCTGGACCAGCTTCTTTCCCTCTCCATGGTCTGGGCCAACCACCTCTTCTTGGGTTGCAGGTGCGGACCCCTGCCGGCTGCCTGACCGTGTCCCCCGCTTCCGACCCGCAGCCCTCGCCCAGCCTGACCTCTGCTCGGGACAGAACTTCCTCCCCAACCTCCAGCCGCAGTGATCAGGCCATGGCTGATTCCCATCCTAGCCAGCCCCGTGCCTGGATATTTAACTTCTCTAAGCTTCAGGTTCCCCGTTTGGAAAACGGATGGTTGTGATGACTACAAAATTAACGGGTGAAAAACACTTAGCACAAGCTGCCATCTAGCAAGAGCTGAGGGCCTGGTGGGCGCTCAAGTTGCCGTTATTTGTGTATACTGTTAGCTCGACCAGCACCTTACAGAGTGCATTTTAAGCCCATTAGCACCTTTCACTCACAAGATAAAGTTGTACAGGTGGAAACTGAGATTCCCCCAGTTTGTACGGGAAGATGAGGGAGAAGTGATATATCAGGGCCACGTAGCCTCTGAGTTGATTGGTGGGTTTTACCATTTATGGCAGGATGTCTTCTGTGGCTCTTGGCTGTTTCTCCTCACTCCCCAGTTTGTGGGACCCTGTGATAGAGCCAGCCTTGCCTTTCTGCCTTTCCACTTATGGAAATAACAGAGTCCGCCTAGAGCCCATTTATGAGGTGTTTGATAAGCACCTCTGCCCCACCATCAAGAAGGTGGAAAATCTCCAGGCTCCCCATATTCTTTTATTTTAATATTCCCTGCAATTGTGTGTGCCCCTTATGGCTGCCTGACTGGTCACATGATTCCCCCAGCCCTAAGTCACTGGGTTTGTTTTTCAGATGTTGGAGGTTATTAGAACAATATTTGGGGAAGCAGTGCCAGACCATCCATTCCTTTTCTCTGCCTTCTGGGTACCTGTGGGATATCCTCTTTAACTGGGTCCAAGATTAGGCAAATGTCAAAAAATTTGACAAATGAAAATAGTTATTTTCATTAGACCAACATTGCACATGTTTAAAAATGAAAAAAATTGAACCCTCATTCCTAATCCACGAATATGTATTACCAAATGTACAGTGCCTTGTCTTTTTTTGTTTGTTTTTTTAAATCTTAAAACACCTCCTCTAGTGGCATTCCTAGAGCCCCTGCTGTATCCACAAGCAGAAAGAACCATTCCCTTAGCTGCTGCTGAAGGTGTGTGTGTTTACCCTGTAGTATCAAATCATTCCTCTGAGAGTTGAGTTTACAATCCTATCTGTAATTTCTTAGTAGCCACAGTGACAAGGTTTTTCTCTTACTCCCTTTTATTGCGCAGTTACAACAAAGACCTTTTAGACAAGGTGATGGAAATGGCTGATGGGATTGAAGTGGAAGACCTGCCACAGTTTACTACCAGGAGTGAATTAATGAAAAAGGTAAATAGGATTTCCAAGTGCTTTTGAAATGGCATGGAGTGATAGCCCCTGCCAGTGTGATGATGTGTCTGACTACATTGTTTTCTGAATGCTTTTATTTACTACCAGAAACATCTAAGCCCTTTTCATTTCTATTTCCCTGTAATTGGTAGAAACCTTTTGATAAATTATGCATTGTTGGTGGAGTAACACATAAACTCAATCCCTTCAGTTCCTCTAGGAACATTATATTTTGAGCATTTTGCAATTTTGATGTTTAAGGAAATGTTGACTAGTGCTCCCACTTACCAAGAAACCTTGATAACATGAACTTATCCTTACCCCAGTTGGGAGGGCCTGACCAGACTTGTTTGGTCCCTCCTATTTGCCAGTGGGAATGTAGATGGACTAATTCCCAAACATCACAGCTATTCCTTATTCTGCAGGGCTTAGTCTGATAGGGAGATGTGGACTTTTTAACCAGTGAACTGTTGCCCACAGAGCCTTGTATCTGGATCCTGGGGTGTAGAGAATGTGGCTGACAGGATGGGACTGAGCAACCCAGGTCCTTGTCAGAATCTCTCAAGACATACTTTTTTCTCATTTCCCCTCTTCTTGGGCAGCAGAATTGGTGTCTCCCAATTTCCTTGTTTATTACTTTACCCCAACTCCTTTTAGAGTCAGTTGTAAACTTCTTGAATCCTTCTGTCTCCATAGCATAGTATAGGCATATGCCGGAGAAGATCCTCAGAAAATACTTACAGAATTGACTCAAGCAGTAGAGTAAATGGGGCTGGCCTCTTTTTAGTTCTACCCTCAGAAACATAGGTAAGCACTTGCCTCACCCTAGTTGGGTCTTGTTTGGGGGGTAAGGTACACTAAGAAGTTTATTTCTGTGTAGGTATCAAGGAATTAAATAATCCTTAACTTCTCAGAAAGTACTTCAGTCCCAAAGAGCACACTCCATTTGATTTTAGATAGATTTCTTCAAGTATTCTTGTAGGTTTTTTTTAGAAGACTTATTTATTTATGCGTACAAGAGCTAGGGTGTAGGATAGGGATGCAGGGAGTTGGGGTATGTGTGAGAAGATTTATCAGAGACAAGAGTGGGGAGCAGAACAGGTGGATCCACTGAAATACATTGCTGAGGGGAGCAGTGGGTGAGATAGGAGAGGTCTGCTGCACCATGTGGGTAGCATCCTGGCTGGGGATTGAATTCATGCTGCAGTGGCTGCAGATAGCTTCATAGTGCTGAGACTTAACCCTTTGTGCCACCAGGGAGTCCCCGAGTTTGTAACTTTTTGAACCCTGTTATAGATTAAAAAAAATCTATGGGCAGTCCTTGGGTGTCTCAGAGCAATGAGGTTCATGGGACCCAGGCAGGGGGCAGCTGCCTGAATACACTCCATGGGGCAGCAGCAGGCAGGGCACAGCGTGAGGTTTCACTTCTTTTTTTTTTTTTTTAATTAATTTATTTATTTATTTATACAAGTACTGGGTACAGTCAGAAGTGTGGAAGGGTGAGAGAATTCACCAGAGACAGAGAAGAGAGCAGAACAGGCAGACCAATGAAATACGCTGCTGAGGGGAGCAGCCGACATAGCAGGAGAGGTCTGCGCGCCATGTGGGACCCTCGTCCGGCGGCCAGGGATCGAACCGGCGCTGCAGAGGCTGCGGGCAGCTTCGCAACCCAGCACTTAACCGCTGTGCCAACGGGGAGGCCCAGGTTTCACTTATTAACTGCTTGTGGCAGATCCTTTCCTTGCTTTTTGCTCCTGAGAGGTATTCTGCCTTCCCTAAGACCTGTTTTTCACATCAGTTTTCTTTTATACTTATCATGTATTGTGCTCTTTTCAGTCATGCTGGGCTGTTAGAAATCACATGTCATATTTGGGCTGTGGACTCCAGGAGAGATCAAGCTTTTGTAATTGATGTGCATGTCCCTAATATCCATAAACCAGTGCGAAGAGACATATGTGTATATGTTGGAGGGGAATGTGTACATTGTAAGAGTGAGTGTGTCTTTCTTTAAATGTTAACTATCTTAAAGAGGTCTTAATAGTGTAGGGAGCCCTTGCTCAGGAGTGTTCTTTTTTGACACAGTTCTTGCACAATGTGAGCCTCTGGAGAGAGTCCTCTGGCAGGGATCTGGCATCCCTGAAACCTGTGTGGCCATTAGACTAATCACTAGCATTAGCTACCTGGAAGAAGCTTGCAGAGAGCCTGTACTTCAGCAGGGAGCAATTTTTGATAATACGTGTTTCACTTTCCTTTAGATAAAATTTATTTTCTTAGCAAAGAAGTTTGAAACTGTTGATGCCACTGAAAATGAAACTCAGTTGAACCTTATAAGGGGGCTACTTAGAGGGTATGCAGAATTTTATCCATTCAAACTCTTGCAAAGTCCATCCTGAGAGGAATTTGTCATACAGACTGGTGTGGTATTGAAGGGATGTCCCCTTCTCCATTGAAGGCCACCCTCTGAACCCACTGAAAAGGGATTTTGTAGCATTCTTTTGTTTTTGTCCTGAGTTTTTCCCAATAGAGGCTGGCAAACAAATAACATTGCAAGCCCAGAGACCAAAAAATCTTGAAGTTGAGTCATGCTCTTGAAAACATCTGTTGAAGTTCTGCCCAGAATAGATCCTTAGCTTTAGAGTTCAGTGGGTTTTGTTTTTTTTAAAAAAGATTTTATTTATTTATGTATACAAGAGCTGGGGTACAGGCCAGAGATGGGGTATGTGTGTGTGTGAGAGGATTCACCAGAGACAGAGTGGGTAACAGAACAGGCAGATCAACTGAAATACACTGCTGAGGGGAGCAGCGGGCAAGTCAGGAGAGGTCTGCCTCACCATGTGGGTTGCTCCCCGGCCGGCTGGGGATTGAACTCGTGCTGCAGAGGCTGCGGATTGCTTCACAGTGCATTGCTTAACCCCTTGCGCCACCAGGGAGGCCCCTCAGTGGGGTTTTAAAGCTAGCTAGTAAGTAGAAATTAATTACTTGGCATTATTGGTCAAAATGTTGGTCCCATCTTGGGACAGGACAGTAAAAATGACTTACATACTTAAGTTCTTTCAAATAAGATTTTTTTAAATATTTTTTTAAATTTTTATTTATTTATATAAGCACTGAGTACAGACAGAAGGGTGGGAGGGTGAAAGAATTCACCAGAGCCAGAGCAGGGAGCAGAACAGGCAGAAGGACCAAAGTACACTGCTGAGGGGAGCAGTAGGAACAGCAGGAGAGGTCTGTGAGCCATTTGGGACCCTCCCTGGGATTGAATCGGCGCTGCAGCGCTGCAGGCAGCCCCGCAGCCCAGCGCTCAACCGTTGTGCCACCAGGGAGGCCCTCAAATAAGATTTTGAAAATACTTTACGCCTGTTTCATAGTTTTGAGACAAGTGGATCTGTCCAACTCTTGTTTTTGTCTGAATAAAGAAATGAACATTGGTATATGATATGTAGTAGATTTATTAATCAGTTGTAGTGTATGATTTTTCTTTTGAAAGAGGGGCATTTGGGCCTCGCTGGTGGTGCAGGGGGTTAAGATGAAGCACTATGAAACTGTCTAGTCACTGCAACATGAGTTTGATCCCCAGCCAGGAAGGTGACCCACATGGCACAGCAGATCTCTCCTGACTCGCCCGCTGCTCCCCTCAGCAGTGTATTTCAGTCAGTCTTCCTGTTCTGTTCCCCACTCTGTCTCTCTGGTGAATCCTCTCACGCCCCACACTTTTGGCCTGTACCCCAGTTCTTGTATGCATAAATAAATCAATCTTTAAAAAAAAAAAAAAGAAGGGGCATTCAACACAAACATATCCAGCAATCTCTGTTACCTGGCCATGCCTAGGTACCTACTGTTAGCTCTTTTGGTTGACCAGCTTAACCGTAGATGAGCAATAATTAACAAAGAGCAGCCGCTCTCAGAAAGGGTGTCATTATGGTGAATGTCCATTAATAGTCCCAAGTGACTGTCTTAATAAGAGAGAGAGATTGACTATAAGCTGTCATTGTTGGCTCAAAGAATAAAGTTGTCAGCTTCATTTCTTGGTCCATTTTTCCTGAGGACATTTTCATTGAAGAGGAAAATTGGCGGTATGGAAAGTAACTACATATGAAATGTGAAAGAGAAATTAGAGAAACAAGCATGCTGCATCTCAAGAGAATCTTTTCTTTGTATTATGCTTTGTCTTGGTAAGCTCTAAGATAATGGGACAGCCACTCCCTTAGTTAAAGCAACTGTGATAAGTATTGTTTTTTTTTTTGGTTTGGTTTTTTTTTATTTTATTTTATTTTATTTATTTATTTATACAAACACTGGGTATAGTTAGAAGCGCAGGAGGGTGAGAGAATTCACCAGAGCCAGAGCGGGGAGCAGAGCAGGCAGAAGGACCGAAGTACACTGCTGAGGGGAGCAGCGGGCGGCAGGAGAGGTCTGCGCGCCATGTGGGACCCTCCTCCAGTAGCTGGGGAGCAGCCGGGGATCGAACAGGTGCTGCAGAGGCTGCGGGCAGCTTCGCAATCCAGCGCTCAACCGCTGCGCCACTGGGGAGGCCAAAGTATTGTTATTTTAAGAAAAAAACGTAGCTGCTCAGATTAGCTAGATTTTGTCCTGTCTCCCAAGATAAAGGCTCAGTGGAGCTACTTTTCTTATCCTCTTAATCCAGTGGAAATAGTAGAAGCTTGTAAAGCTGTGTCTGACCCCAGAGGCCAGCGCTTTGGCCATTGTCTCCTCCCAAAACCTTATGGAAAGGACTATGCTTGTAGCAATGTCAATGGCAGCTGTTGTGCTGCTGTAGTCTTGGCCTGCCTTACTGGAAATCTGAGGGATGGCTTAGGAGATTCTCTTTCCTTTTGGTTTCTCTAGGTGATATTGGATTCTCCTAAAAGGAGAGACTTCTTATATTTTGCTTTTGCTGACAAATTTTGTTTTTTCATTTCTCAAAAAGACAGGCTTAGCTAGGAACTAGGTCATACCTTGAAAACTCTGATTACTAAAAAGACTCTCAGATTGATTCACTCGAACTGCTAAATGTTAAGGAAATCCATTCAAATACAAGGTGACAGCCAAAATGATTTCTTCACACCCTGCTTAAAAGTTGTCTAAAGCCAAGATTAAATTTACCAAAGGTGCTAGAGAGTAACCAGAAAGAATGTATCTGCTTCAGTTCCCTGCTATTTGAAGACATGCATTTACAGTTTCTAATAGTGTGAAATCCAGAAATACATAACCTTCACATCTCTCCTAAATATCCTGACTCAATGTGAAACATTGTGAATTACTACCTGGATTCAGCTGCTTTTAATTTAGAATAATAAGTGTGTGATTCTGCTTTTAGAGCCCTTCATTATAGAGCAAGCCAGGAAAAAAGTTACATTTTTAAGTATTTCTGTTACCAGTTTAAATTGAATATTTATAGATTACAGGTGACAAAACAAGAAAATTTGGTTTTGGCTTCCAAATTGATGGTATGGTTAGTGTTTTGCTGAATTTTTTGGTATACAAGAAGATATTGATAATTTGAGTATATTTAACATCTGGATAGTACATAAATGTTACATCAGTACTATATTGTAATTTATGGATTTGATTCACTGGACTACATGGCTGGCTACATAACCTTTTCTTTTTTTTCAGCATCAAAGCTAAGTGGGAAGATTCGTCACAGGTTCATCATCAGCTACACAGGCTTAGAAAGGACATTGGGATGTTGACCACAGATGCTCTTAAGACCCATGGTATTACCACCATATAGTCAAGAGGCAGTGGGAACGAAAAGGAATCATGTCCAGATTGGTGTTTTAAAAGTTATCATTCTTCCAGTAGATCATTGTGAAAGTATGCATGGATATTTATGTATTTATAAATCATGCCTTCCTTATTTTCAGCTTGAATGTCAGACTTTCGTTAATACCTTTTTTAATGTTGATGTAATAATGACAGGTAATGAATTTTACATTTGGATTTTTCAACAATGTACCTTTAAGTGTGATTCTGCTTCATGGTCTTTTTTTTTCCCGTCCTCCCCTAAGGCAAACCAGATCCCTTATTTCCTTATTTCTATCTGGTATCTATGCCACCCATATATACTCTGCTACACAAATTCATCTTTTTTTTTTTTTTTAAAAGAAATGACTGACATTCAAATCATAAGCCTCGGAAGTCAGCCTACAAAAAAATCTGGCCTTATCTTAAAAACTCAATAGTATAAGATTCCACAGTTATTTGTAGTCTCTAGTAGTTTTCTAAAGTTGCTGGGTAAAGCCCACATTTTCTTCCTGGAGGCAGCCTGAGGCTTCCATCTTCTAGACTTGAGAAATTGCCTTGCATGTGGCCCTTAAACAAATTCTTGTTTAGTGCAATATTGCTTTACTTCTGAAATTCTGATGTTAATATCCCCTGGTTTAGTTAGTGGATCTGTTCATTACCTCCCTTCTTGTTCCCCTTTTTTATTAATTACCCACCATTCATTACTTATTCCAGGCATAAATACTGACAGGGATTGCATTTGTGGGGCAGCATTGTAGTAATCATAGTAGGAGTCACTCATCACTGTGCTTGGTATTGAGGATGGTGGTGAATTAGTGGATCCTGCCTTAGCTTCATAAACACAGGTAATGAAACAATCAGAAGTGCTAAAAGTAGGAGAGCTGGCTATGGGAACATGGTGTATCTGGTGTATCTGGGAGCGAAGAAATGGCAAGACCTTGGCCCATGACTCAAGGCTAAGGTCCAGTGGCACACCTTGTATGGGACATATTTCTGTATATCTTTAGTTCTAATCTGTAACGATCACTAGGGTGGACCAAGTAAAGAAGTCAGGCGCTGTGATCTATAACCTTGTACCAGCCACCTCTCCTCGAGCATTACTTACCTGGAAATGGAGATCAAATCAGTGCTGCAGTAAGGATTAAGATGTTAGAAGGCCATTCAGTGCTCATCGAGCCAGAGCCTTTTCCTCAAATGTAGCTTAGTATCTATTTTGATGATTTGCACAAATTTGTGAGGCTTAAAAAACCAAATTACAAAGTTGAAAGTCATTTTAAAAATGCATTTTCCATGGATTCTATTCAATGCGCCAATAAAACAATAGCTTGTCAGGAACACATTTATTATATGAAGCAAGCTCTGGGCCTACCACATCACCTGAGTTTATTTTTAAAGACTTATCAAAATCAAATTTCCTGATGCCATTTTCTAATGAGCTCATTTCCTCAGCGAAAACTGCTCCTTTTTCTCATCTTTACAACCTCTGTAGCTGTCTCATCTATAAGATTAAGTAGTAGTTTAGAATTTCATCCATTATGTCTCTTCAGATAGAAAGTGACATAGAAATCTAAAATGTTGCATTGCTTTGAAACAGGAGCTCACACCAGATAAAAGCTGCAAGATACTGGCTCCTACAATCCTGCCCAAGACTTGGGGTGAGGATCAAGTTGAGATCATCAGAAAGGACATGGTAAAGTATTACATGAAGTAGAAATGAAGAGGATCTTTTCTGTTAAAGGCATAACCCTAAAGACCTTGTGAGAAGCAAGTGCTAATAGTACAATTTAAGTTCTGTTAACAGTGTTGCCTCAACTTCATGTTATCCAGGAAATTGCTTTTGAAACATTCTTTTGAGTCTGTGGCCCACTTGATCAATTCTTTACTTTCACAGAGGAAAAGATTCCCTCTTGACTTTTCCAGACTCTGTTTGGACCTGCGGCTTATCTATTCCATGAGCACAGGAAGGAATCGCATTAACACCCATCCTCTGATGCTTTGCTACCTGTAGTGAATGACAGTGAAGATATACACTATCGTATCTGAAATGCATTTTTTTAAAGCAAGTTTTTTTTTTTTTTAAGATTTATTTATTTATTCATACAAGCACTGGGTACAGTCAGAAGCGCAGAAGGGTGACAGAATTCAGCAGAGCCAGAGCAGGGAGCAGAACAGGCAGACCAACGAAGTACACTGCTGAGGAGCAGAACAGGCAGACCAACGAAGTACACTGCTGAGGGGAGCAGCAGGTGCTACAGGAGAGGTCTGTGCACCATGTGGGACCCTCGCTGACGGCTGGGGATTGAACCGGCGCTGCAGTGGCTGTGGGCAGCTTTGCAGCCCAGCGCTCAACTGCTGCGCCACCAGGGAGGCCCTGGTGGGCATTTTTTTATTGACTGAAGTAATACCCTAAATGTCAGGTAACATGGTTATCCCCAGCTGTGCAGTACTAAAGTCTAGGCCAGATACCCTTATATCTGGAAGAAGGTCAACTTTCGAGGCCTGAGACTTGTCATCTAGTCATAGCTCTCACTCTTGACTAGTTCAGGGACACCTTTCAGTTCTGTAGGAAGAGTAAACACAAATCTTAAGAGGAAAGTGTCTTAGAACTGCAACAGATTTTGGTCATATGGGAATTTTTTCCTTAAATAAGTGCATGCTAAAAATAATCTCTGTCCTCACAGGGATTTATAGCTATGTATCTATCTATACATATCTTCAGGGAAGAAACAAAATGTCGCCTGGCTTGCTTTTCATTAAAATAAATAGCATTTTGGGCCTCCCTGGTGATATAAGGGGTTAAGCCTCAGCACTATAAAGCTATCACTAGCCGAAGTGGCACGAGTTCGATCCCTGGCCAGGGAGCTGACCCACATGGTGCAGCAGACCTCTCCTGTCTCGCCCGCTGCTCCCCTCAGCAGTGTATTTCAGTAGATCTGCCTGTTCTGCTCCCCACTCTTGTCTCTGGTGAATCCTCTCACTTCCACACCTCTGGCCTGCACCCCAGTTCTTGTATCCATAAATAAATAAAAGTAAATCTTTAAAAAAAAAGTTACAACTCCCAGGGCTAGCAACTGCTCATTTTAAAACCAAATGTGAAGTGATTTCTCACATTGCCAGCAGTGGGGGCCATCCATTGCATGTGCTTTTGCCAGAGATGGAGGTGTGCCATAAGCCTTGCCTGCAGACAAGAGGGCCACCAGAGGTGGGGTGACTACATTGGAACATTCATTTGGAAATCAAATAGTAAAAAGTGAGACTATAAACTCCAATTAGATGGAGCTAACTACTTATTCTAGGCATGGACTTGTGACCCAGAGCTTTTTCCTTTGACAGTGCTGTCAGACTTTGATGCCTCTTCACAACGTAACCCAGGCGGGTCGCAGCCCAATTCCCACCCCCCTTTCCCTGCCCAGGAAAAGTAGGCGAATGAACTAAAAATATCCTTGAATATGGCCCTCCAATGTCAGTTGCCTGAGAGAAGGTTTTTAGGAGCCTGAGGCAGGTCTTGTCCTCTCCTGGTTTAGTGAAGGGGCAATTAACAGTACAGTGGTCAATCTTGAACTTAGTGATGACTTGTTAGAAATCCCTTGTTAGAAATCCCTTGTTAGAAATCCCTTGTTTTGCTGTGAATGCCCATTAGGGCTGCATTTTCTTTTCCCTTTGACATTTTCTCATACAAAGGATGTTTATCCCTAGGTGTGAATTGGTAGGTATTTCTTCCTCCTGAGTTGGTTCACCTCAGTGTAGGGGATCTGCAAGGTAGGGATGCTTATTTCAATCTTCATTGAGGACTCAGTGGAAAAGCTAATGTGTGTGAAAGTACCTGGCACTTGGGGAGCCTTACTGCTTCATTCTTGCCCTGCTTTCCCTTTAAGGACAACCTGGGAAGACATGAAATGTTTCAACTATCTTGAATTTACACAAGAGAAAAATGAGCACTTCACAGTTACCTACCAGACCAAGCTCCACCCCCAGCGCTATAATAGGGCAGACCTTTTCTATTTTAGTTGTCCAGCCAGTCTTAACATATGAGTTGCCACCCATTAAGTATTCAGTAGTTATGTTGACTCAACAAACGATGACAGGCACGGAACAATGGAGAACCAATCAAATGCCACTGCTCTGGAGGGGGCAGAAGCAAAACCTCCAAGATGGAGGAAAGGAGACAGCAGGTGGCCAATTCTGGCTACAGCTTGGATATTCACTGTAGTCTTCCCACATTTGGCACTTCGGGAGCCAAGTACTACCTGTTATGGCTGGGGCTTGCACATGCTGTGAGCAGATGCTTTGCTGTGGTATTATTGACTGTATAGTGGAAGACTTGCCCAAGTTAACCCTGTGAACACCTAGACTCCTTAATACTCTGGGTATGAATTGTGGACCCTAGCTGACTGGGAATAGTTGGGCTAGGACCGACACCTGCAGTCCCCACTTCCCCTTAAGCTATTTTCAATTTCTCAGGTGATGAGACAGTGACTCATGCTTCCTTTTGCCTTTCTGTGTTTACCAATTTTTTTATGACTATGTTCTACTTTTATAACAAGACCCAGAAAAGTGCTAATTGTACCGAGAATTTGGATCTTGGACCCAGGAAGTCCTCTGCTGTTCTACTGGCCTCCTGCCCAGGCACCAGTGGTTGGTTCTAAGCTTCAGTTTTTGGTATTTAGGACTTTGGTACTTACAGCCTGATTCCTCAGACTTCATCTTGAGAGAATGCCATGGTGATTATGATTTGTTCTAAAGTTGCTCTGTGCAAAATACCCAGCCCCTGTCAGAGAACTTGTAAGGGCTAAGAAAAGCCAGGGAGGGCAACTTCTTTCCTGAACAAATGGGTTCATCAACTACCACCCCCAGGCCGTGTTACTGCCCTTACTGATCTTTCTGGCTTGTAAAATATTTCCTCCATGAGACTGATGTTTTCAATCTAAAGGCAACCTTCTGCTCATGTGCAGGTACAGTCCTGGAAGCCTAACCTCACTATAGCACCTCCAGTTTAGTAATCTAGCTTTTCTTTGGAGATATTCCAAGTCATTAGCTGTTGATATTGGGTTGGCATCTCTGGATTCTGCTATTCTCTGCCCAGTAGATAACTAGGCCAACCAGCTTCTTATTCCTTGCTGTCTCTGTATTGGCACCAACACATAAACATAGACTGTCAACAATTTTTGGAAAAAGGCTTTATACAGGGGCCACAGAGCAGTAAGTATCTTCATTTGACATTCTCTTTAGAAGTGCTGCTAGTCTAATTCAAGTGGTAGGCTGTGGTAGTCTTGGCAAAAGGCCTTGTTTATAGAGGGGGGCAGGGAAGAGGGAAAACACTATCCTTTGGATTTCAGACAGGAAGCAGCATTAAGAGGTCTGTCTGAACTGTTTTTATGTTTGTATTCTGGCAGCATTCAGGACACCACAGAATCCTCCCAACATTCCAGGGAAAATGTTAACTGAATGGATCAGGTGGATGGACCCCAAGGGGATCCTTTCAGAAATAGGGCATGGCCCTCTGTAGGAATGCTCCCAAGCCAGTGACACTTGAGGAATCTGTTTTCCAGGAAAGGCTACATCAGCTGTCCTCCCCACAAAAGACTGTAGAAATATCATACTTGTCACCAAGACTATCACATATAAAGACTTCATTAGAGAAGTTGGCTGGTTAGACTGCTAAAAGGTTATTTGTTGAAGAGTATGTACACTAAATATAGTCTTTCCAAAGATATCATTCTAGAAGTCACTGACAAAACAAAAGCATCATGTGGTCAAAATCTAGCACTCAGTAAATGGCAGAGTTTCTGAAAGTTAGTCTACGCAGGCTTCTCACCCAAGTATAAGCCTTTCAAATGCCAAAGAATCTTGGAACCCTGCCTTCTGGATTTCTTGATTTCAACTAGCAAGGAGCTAATGTTGCTGAGTCACATACCCAACAAGATTTGTTAAGGACATATCACATTCATCTTTTAGGCCCAACTATCAATAGAAAAAAAGCCCTACTCCATGCCATGTATGAACAGTGAACTTAAAAACCTCAAGGTATTACTAACAAAATTGTTTTTTTTTTTTTTTTAATAGAGGCATGTCTTATTTATTTGTTTGTTTGTTTGTTTTTGTTTATACATGCACTGGGTACAGTCAGAAGTGCGGGAGGGTGAGAGAATTCACCAGAGCCAGAGCAGGGAGCAGAGCAGGCAGAAGGACCGAAGTACACTGCTGAGGGGAGCAGCGGGCGGCAGGAGAGGTCTGCGCGCCATGTGGGACCCTCCTCCAGTGACCGGGGAGCAGCTGGGGATCGAACCGGCGCCGCAGAGGCCACGGGCAGCTTTGCAACCCAGCGCTCAACCACTGCGCCACCGGGGAGGCCCTAACAAAATTGTTTTAAAAGCTGTCGTGTAGTGGGCCTCCCTGGTGGCCCAAGGGCTTAAGCATAGCAGTATGAAGCGATCTGCAGCTTTGGTAGCACAAGTTCGAATCCCTGACCGGCCAGGGATCTACCCACATGGCGCAGCAGACCTCTCCTGACTTGCCCACTGCTCCCCTCACAGTGTATTTCAGTCAATCCGCCTGTTCTGTTCCCCACTATGTCTCTGGTGAATCCTCTCACCCCCTGCACCTCTAGCCTGTATGCATAAATTAAATCTTTAAAAAATTAATAAAAGCTGTTGTATAGTGATGGTTGAAGAGAACTTGCCAAAGAAAAATGGCACAGACATTTGTGTTTTCTTTTTCAAAGGGTAAAGGACAATTATTTCAACAAAATTTTGTTTCTGTACCTATGTTCTGTGTCATCATATGCTAGAATAAACTGAAGATAACTTACTTTCCCTTTATCTGACAACTCATTTTTTCCCCTAACTAGATGAAAACTGAACAGGACCACCATCTTCCACAAGGTAGCTTTTGAACTACTGACGATTCTATTATAATCGCCACATAACAAATGCCTTTGGGACTTTGCATTGTTGGATGCAAAAGAAAGTAAGTATAATAAATTACAATCAAGATCTAAAAATTAAAACCCTATCCCTTAAAACTTGGGAGAATTGAGAGCTCAAAATACCTTAGACATAATTCTAACTTCTGCTGTGAGTTCCAAAGTATTAAATGAAGACAGGTACCTTCTTTCTTAAGCATAAAACAGACTTATTAAAAGGCATCTTAAATAGCCTTCTTCTCCATTACCTTCCACCTACATGAGTAAGAATTTTTTAGATCAGTTCTAGAAGTTATTTGGATTCATGGGACTTTATTTTGGGGGGCTGGGTATATAGACTCAAGAATATTTCTAGGAAGGGGATGAATCCTTATTTCCTACAGGAATAGTAGTTACTAGTTCAAAGACCAGACTGCCTGGGTTCAGCTCCCAGCTGTATCATGTAGTAGCTGGTTGACCTTGGGCAAGTCATTTAATCTTTCTGTACCTCGTTTCCCCATCTGTAATGTAATACCGCCTACCTCATTGGATTACTGAGAGTCTGAAATGAGATTAATATATGTTAAAATGCTTAGAATAGTGCCTTTCACAGAGTGTGATGAGTACTAGTACAGAGGAACTGCATCACAAATGAATTTAAACTTTACAATTTTGTTAAACTTCCTTAAATTACAACAAACTTAATTATGCCATACCATACATTAAGTTTATACTTAGAATTTAAAAGTAAATACTTTTTGTATGACATAAGCTTGTAAACTGAAGGTTTTACATATGGAATTCAACCAGAGAAATAGGAATCTGTTCCAAGACTTAAAAAAAAATGGAGTAATCTGGGCCTCCCCGGTGGCGCAGCGGTTGAGCGCTGGGTTGCGAAGCTGCCCGCAGCCTCTGCAGCGCCGGTTCAATCCCTGGCTGCTCCCTGGCCACCAGAGGAGGGTCCCACATGGCGCGCAGACCTCTCCTGCCGCCCGCTGCTCCCCTCAGCAGTGTACTTCGGTCCTTCTGCCTGCTCCGCTCCCCGCTCTGGCTCTGGTGAATTCTCTCACCCTCCCGCGCTTCTGACTGTACCCAGTGCATGTATAAACAAACAAACAAACAAATAAATAAATAACATGCCTCTATTAAAAAAAAAAAAATGGAGTAATCAAGAGAACACTCCTAAATTTTTTTTTTCAATGGGAATATAAAGGCGATGTCAGTTTTACCCATGTGTTTAATTTAGGGAGTTAGAGTTCACTGCAAAATAAATTATAACTCCCTTATAATTATCAATCAATACTTGGAATAACTGTTCCAATTTTAAATAGGGAAAGGAAAACAGGTTAAGGATAAAAATAGATTTTAAAGCAATATCCAAATAACATTTAATGAAGAGGAAAGACTCACAGCTACTGTATATTTAATCTAAGTGTCCGTCACTGTAGTAAATGCCTGTAGAAACTATAATTTGTTTTAGAGTTGAATAGAAATGCATCATACATTTAATATGACCAAAAGTACCTTTAAATAAAGCATCTTTTTTTTTTTTTTGGCCATGATTTCAGTGAGTGAACTCATTTGTGTCAAAGTTCCCTAAGTTTGTACACTTACCCCCCAAATTGCCAAGTAGTAACTTTTAAAGAGAAACATAAGCACTTATCTTTGCAATGTTAAACAACGCTTAATAAATAGAAGGTGTAGATACTGCTATCCTCCTCTTCCAATAAAAAAGAAACCAGTCTTCTGATAGAGAAGCTGTTAGCTTACTCTTACATTAGTATGGATATGACAAGAAAATCCTGGGGTTACTGAAATAGCTGTTGTTTACTACTAGAAAGACTACACAGGTGATTCAACAGAATTTACTTGTATATTTTCCATTTTCTATACTATTTGAAGGCATAAGATAGCTTTGTATTAGCTTTCTACAATACTGTGTTTTAAGTTTATCCAGTAAACTACGATGCAGTTACAACTTTTATACAACTTAGGAGATAAGAAAAAAAAATCTCCACAAGAGAAAGCAATTCAGCAGGCCCTGATAGTAAAACATTTTCCCAGAATAAACAGATATGCAATTGCATTAAAAGGCAGTATTTTTCAAATATTTAAATTACACCAAGATTCCTCCCAAATATCTGCCTTGTTCAAATCAATGCAACCAAATTCTTATTTAGTGTTAATAGTGGGGCATGGATTTTTGGTAAATGTTTTTATGGGTTGTACTTTCATTATCAATCTTCTAAAGTGCTATCAAGCAGCAAAGTAAGTTGCATCAGTTCTCTGCTCATGGTAGATGTGCCAGTTCCTCATGTAGAGGTGCAAATTGTGAAATTGCAAAAGGTACAGTTTAACAGTAAGTAGTGCATGAAGAAACAGTAACGAGTGCCCTAAATACAGAGTTGGACAGAATCAAACCAATTATGTCTACAATTGCTCAATTGAAACCAATATAGGTATAGTCAAAACAAAGTTCGAGATTATAATTGGTGTTTAGAATCAAATTTGAAGAATTTCTTGATAAAATATCTGTTCTTTTGAAATTGGAAATGAAACTATCAATTAATGGAGAGCTAGAGACTTATTAACCCCTCCTACACAGATAAGGAAATAAGTGACAAAGTCTCTTGCACTGAAGTTATGTATTTTAACAGCTTTACATGTAATATTCATATATAAAAAACTTTAAGTGCTTTTCTCCAATTTAAAAATCTAAAGAATTCAAAAATAAGGCATTCAATATTTGAAAAAAGTACAGATTTACAAAATGTGTATATTCTGTCATGAAAACTCCACACCAACATTATACACTTGGAAAAAAATACAAACAGGATATATTACAAATTTATGTAAGCAATAACTTAGTTCACACCATGCAATAAAAAGTACATTAATCAAGATACACAAGCTTTGTAGGTTCTAAACTGAAGGACTTTTTTTTTTCTGCAGAATCCTTAAAACCTGTGGCACTTAAAATTTGTTAGCCTTTCTACTGAGAGGTAAATTATACACAACAATGATGAAAAGATTAACAGACCAGTTGTCTATTATGAATCATTCCAGCTTTGTTCAACAATGGCCGAAACTCTTTTCTCATATTCCCGTTTGTTTTCCTGATAAAGCTGTGCTGCCTGGCTATTGGCTGGACTATTCGGATTCGGTTCATCCAGCAGAGACTAGAAGTAAAGAGAAAAAGAAAAAAGATTTGCAGAGGGATTCTTTATGTTAACATGAGTCAGACAATGGTGCATACATGTTGATACAAAACAACAGAAATTATTCAATAAAGAAATGACAGAAATTAGCATGTCTTATTTTTAGGTCTAAATACTTTTAGTAATGGCTTGATGCAGTTTTCCAATGCTAGAGAATATGAGCTCCCCAAACAATTATTTTTTAAATTGCCTTAAGACTTCATATTTCAATAAAGGATTACGTGTGTGTATATAAAATCTACATGAAGACTTCTAATTTCAGAGAACAGCATTCTTCTGCACACTGGGGTTATTAACCAGGAAATAAACAGCTTGATTTGGTTAACATACAATACCTATAACTGGCTGAGCAAGTAACATTTTCCAAAGTTAACCTCTAGTTATTTTGCAAATAATAATTTGGTTGGGTAATGAATCTTAGTCCCTTTAATCAACAAAACACATGCATGGCGCATCAAGGGAATGAAATACAAAATGTTTGTAAGATGACCTGAATTAAAACAGAAATGAGTCACAAACCCAATTATTCTGCTTCTCTCAAATCCATGTAACTGAAACATCCCATACTCCACCCCACCAAAATTGTTGTTCAAGGTCAGGTCTCAAATACTGTGGCAGAGTGCTTTGGCAAATATTGATAGTTACCTACTGTACTTTTCTTTTTGTAAACACATTTTCTTGTACCCAATGTTTCTTTGCACTTCAGTTTCTTGAGGTTCCTATGGTTTTCGAAGTAGTCATTTTTATCTCTCTCTTAAGGAGACTTTCCATTTTTCTCTACAACCTCTAGTCATGAGCACAAATAAAAGTTGACTGGTGAGAATACGTTACTAATCTATGATCAGGAAAATGATTGTGGATTTGATCATATGTGGTCACTAGTGAGAACGTAGACTAGTCACCTGAAAATAATGTGTTTCTGTCTACACTCTGTGATGCTTTCCACAGTGTAGTGGCCATCACATTGCCTCACACAAGCTCTCCCATGGTTACCTGGGTGTGAGGAAGGTTTAATCACTGAGTCTTTACATTCTCCTAAAAGAGCAAATATACCACAGAATATTTGAAAAATCACGATGCATTCTAAGACATACCTGAATTGATGTTAGGATAGAAGATACATCATATGTTGGACTCCATCTATTCTGAAGGATATCTAAACATATGCTACCATCAGCATACACTGCAAAGACAACACTAAAACTGGTTACATATTTACTTGGTCATATCTAATAACAGTTAAGAGAAATCTTTACCACAAAAGCCGAATCCTGACTACTCAGAAGTTCTGAGCATCAGAAAGTAAATGAACCCTTTTGTCTCACAGAAAAACTTACCTTAAAACTAAGGTCTTTGCATTTATTCATCAGGAGGCTGAGAGTTTTTTAACACAGCACATACAGCAAATCAGTTTTACTCCTTATTTCTAAATGTTAAGTAAACTCTTGGAAAAAAAGTTTCTTTTTTGACTTACCAACTCCACTCCTGGAAATTATTCCAGCAGAAATAATATGGGCATGTAATTGAAAAATTGGAAACTATCCTATGGCTCATAAAGAGGGTACTAGTTAAACAATGGTACATTCATATAACCAACACATACCAATGTAGCCACCAAAAATAATCTATATACCCTATGTTCATTGATGCAGAAAGATACCCTTGCTAAATTACCTTGTTACCTATAATATAAAATTAATATATATAAATATTTTCATAATAGAAAAGAAACAGTTGTAAGACTAAATACCAAATCTAAGTGGTAGATATGTATAAGTTATGAAGGATCTTATTTCCTTTACCTTTTCATCATCAAAAACTAAAAATCAAGTGGGTAAGATGTTTTAAATGTCTTTTTTTTTTTTTTTTTAAGATTATTTATTTATGCAAGCACTGGGTATAGTCAGAAGCGAGGGAGTGTGAGAGGATTCACCAGAGCCAGAGCGGGGAGCAGAGCAGGCACAAGGACAGAAGTACACTGCTGAGTGGAGCAGCAGGAAAGGTCTGCGTGCCATGTGGGACCCTCCTCTGGTGGCCAGGGAGCAGCCGGGGATCAAACCAGCGCTGCAGAGGCTGCGGGCAGCTTCGCAACCCAGCGCTCAACTGCTGCGCCAACGGGGAGGCAGGCCCTGTTTTAAATGTCTTTAACATTTGGGAGGCTTCTTCCTTCCTCCCTCTTGGGACTGACTATGTAAAAACACCATGGAATAATTCAATGGTGGTATGTTTTTTCAGGCTTTTAATTCATTTTCCTTTTTTTAAAAAGATTTATTTATTTATGCATACAGGAACTAAGGTACAGGCCAGAGGTGTGTGGGGTGAGAGGATTCACCAGAGACAGAGGAACAGAACAGGCAGACTGAAATACACTGCTAAGGGGGGCAGCGTGCGAGACAAGAGAGATCTGCTGCGCCACGTGGGTAGCTCCCTGGCCAGGGAATGAACTTCTGCTACAGAGGCTGCGGACTGCTTCATAGGTTGCATCTTAACCCCTTGCGCCTCCAGGGAGGCCCTCATTTTCCATTTTTTACTTGCTTGTATATTTATTTTTAGAAGTTTATTACTATTTTTCATAAATTACTAAATAACCTTTACAAATGAATTTGTTCTTCTCTGAATTCTTGCTGCTATATTACACTTCTATTGCTTGGTTATGAATTGCTATCTGAAAGAATTATTTTCCAAAATATTTAAGCTCTTTTTAATAACTTCTACTCATTTAATGTGATTCCTTCCCTCCCCGACCCCAATTAAGGTACTTTCAAGAGGAATCTAAAAAAGTTCATGGACATTTGAGATTTAATTTCAAGAGTGTTCAAAGTGCTGTTTAAAATTGCAAACTGAAAATCAACTGGACACTAAATTATGGTAAATTCATATAACAACATTTTACAGTCACTAAGAATAATGCAAAAAAATATTCAGTAAGGGAAAATGTTTGCAGTACATTAAAAAATTACTTAACTTTACATAAAATATCCAAATGGTATATAAACATCTATTTGAATTTTTTTTTAAAGATTTATTTATTTATTTATTTATTTATTTATTTATTTATTTATTTATTTATTTATACAAGCACTGGGTACAGTCAGAAGCACGGGAGGGTGAGAGAATTCACCAGAGCCAGAGCGGGGAGCAGAACAGGCAGAAGGACCGACGGACACTGCTGAGGCGAGCAGCGGGCGGCAGGAGAGGTCTGCGCGCCATGTGGGACCCTCCTCTGGTGGCCAGGGAGCAGCCGGGGATCGAACCGGCACTGCAGAAGCTGCTGGCAGCTTCGCAACCCAACGCTCAACCTCTGTGCCACTGGGGAGGCCCTATTTGAATTTTTTAAAAGCTTAAAAAAAAAGCTTAAGCAACCAATTTTTTCTTATCTTTCACATTCTTACAAATAATATTACTATAAAATCAGAAGTTGTCAAAATTTTATTTCAAATTTGATTCAAAACTGCAAAATTCAAAACTGTCTAATATTAACATGGAAAGAATATAGGGCAGCAAAGAAGTGTTTTAATAGCCAGGAAGAGCAAAAAGGAAGTTAGTTCTATAAGTAAAGAAACAACTCCTCCCCACCCCCATCATTTGCAAAGTCTAATAAACTGCTACTTACCATTTGGATGAAACATTTTGGATAAAAACCTAACAGTTGGCGGTTTATTTGGGTATTCTTCAGAAAATTCTATTACTAGTTTAAAAGTACCTAGATAGAAACAAACCAAAACAGTTATAGTAAAAACAAGCACATTTTAAACTTGTCATCACTGCATTCCCATCCCCATATTGGTTTTTGCATATAAAGTAAATGTACTTTCATTTATACTATATTAGACTAATAACACAAAAAAGCAGTAAGCACTTGGAGAACAAGCATGTTTCACGTGCTCACAGTGAGTATTAAATAAATGAATGTCATATTTTAAGAAGGCAATTTGGCCCTTGCTACCCAAATTTCAAATGCTCACGTGGAAAATAGAACAGTTTATTATAGTTCAGAAAGGGGTGTCAAAGGATTCTGAGAGAGGGTGACTACACAAAGGACTCCGATTTCAGTAGGCTTGGGTGGTAAAATTAAAGTTCTATTCTGTCCCCATAGGAATCCCTTCGCTTTGCATTCAAGAATCAGTGTTAGTCTGTCTACTTCAGTTATAGGCCAACACAGTACATTTAATCAGTCTGAGTCAGTATTTTATGGTCAATAGAGATGGCAGGCATTTAAAAAATTATGCATTTGTAACAAAGTCAATTAGCTCATAGTGTACAAATAACTCCAATTCCAAATCTAGTTCACAAAAATAACCACTATTTAAGGTCTGTGTTTCTCTTTGTAGACTCCTTTTGTATTCATTCAAGTATCCAGAGGTTGGAGAAGTGATGCAACTACAATCCCTTGCACTTGCACATATATATGTCTCTATAGGTTCATTCCTTATTTCTTCAATGTTGTTTTATAAAAATCAAAACAAGAAGCCCTTTCTTTTTTTTTTTTAAAATTTAAATTTTATTTTTATATTCCCCATAAAATTGCAACCCCCTTATTTTGAACCCAATCCCCCCTTTCCCCAAACCCCACCCCCCATAGAGTGCCCCTGGTTCATAGTTTGTTGATTTTGATTTTTACTTTCTTATAGTTATTCTTTTTCCTGGTCTCTTATTTAAGTTTTCTAGAGTCCTGCTTATGAGTGACACCATCCGGTATTTTTCTTTTTCTTTCTGGCAAGAAGCCCTTTCTTAACCTCATTTCTAAGCTCATCACTTCAGTTTTTCAAGCTTAGAAGCCCATATTTAATATAATATTTTGTATTTTATCATCATGTATTTGGCATACAAACTCTACCTCCTTACATTTTTGTTGTCTTTTGGAAATTTGCGATGGGGGGGGGTGTCAAAGCTACAAACAAAATCAAAGGTGATTTATACTTCACATTATAATACATTAATAGGGTACTATGTAACCTACTATTAGTGAAGTTGGCCTTATTTTTTTTCTACATATTCTTTTAGCTTACATTTTAATTTTCTTTAATTACAAAAATATACAACATAAAAATTTCAAACACACACAAATACGAAAAGCTATTTTAAAACCTTTTTATGTTATGGGGTTTCAGGACCCAGTTACACTCTTACTCCAACCACTGCCAAACTTCTAATATGAAACCACTAAATGTGATGGTGGGAAGAGATGCATGCAATAGCATTTGCTTTATGAAATTTAATGGTATTTCTAATGTGGAGATACAATAAAATAATATCAAGAATACCATATATAACATTAAAATGCAGTAAATTAGAAACTGATGAGGTTTACTATTTATCTTTTGAAGGTATAATTTTTTTAAGGCTTCATTTATCTTTGTATGTAAGAACTGGGGTGCATGCCAGAGGTGCTAGGGGTAAGAAGATTCACCAGAGACAGAGTGGGGAGCAGAACAGGAAGATCTACTGAAATATACTGCTAAGGGGAGCAGCAGGTGAAACAGCAGAGGTTTGCCATGTGGGTTAAGCTCCCTGGCTGGGGCTCGAACTCAAGCCATCACAGTGGGCTATGGCAGTAGTAGCACTGAGACTTAACCCCTAGGCCACCAGGGAGGCCCTGAAGATGTAATTTCATTGAAAAATACTGACTCTAGGGCCTCCTTGGAGGCACAAGGGGTTATGCACAGCACTATGAAGCAATCCCCAGCCTCTGCAGCACAAGTTCAATCCCCAGCCCGCCAGGGAGAAACTCACATGGCGCAGCAGACCTCCCCTGATTCACCTGCTGCTCCCCTCAGCCATGTACTTCGGTCAATCTGCCTGTTCTGTTCCCCACTCTGTCTCTGGTGAATCCTCTCACCCCCAGTATCTCTGGCCTGTACCCCAGCTCTTGTAGGCATAAAGAGATATTTTTTAAAAAAATTGATTCTAATAACCAGATTACAAAAATTCCCAAAATCTTAAATCTGTTCTCACAAAACTGGTAAAAGCTGCCACTAGTATACCACTGGCTATACCTACTGATAGTTGTATTAGAAAATATTACTAAGAAAATATTCAAACTGTAAACCCATTATGTATTAATAATGCATATTTAATGAGAAATAACTATTCTACCCTTCCCCCAAAGTAGTGAACAGGCTAGCACTGCTTAACATTTTGGCAATTTTCATTAGTGACTGGCTTAAGATAGCTGGATTCTCTTAACTGCTTCTTCATTCAATGTTGTAATATACTGCTTTGCCTGAGGTACATGAAAAAAAAATCAGATCTCACATAAATGTTTTTGAAAAAGGAAGGAATATTTACATATAATTGTAGAGACCTTAACATTACATCAAAGAAATCCTAAATTTTTAAAGGCTAGTGACAACGCAGAATTAAAAACCATACAAATTAGCTTTTCTATCAGCTTCACTGAAATCTGTTGCATACTGCATAAATCTTTCGTTCATGTTATTTTTAATTTGTCATATGGAGGGCCTCCCTGGTGACGCAAGGGGTTAAGATGCAGCACTATGAAGCTATCCGCAGCTACTGCAGCATAAGTTCGATTCCCTGGCTGGCCAGGGAGGTGATCCACATGGCATAGCAGACCTCTCCTAACTTGCCTGCTGCTCCCCTCAGCAGTGTATTTCAGTAAATCTGCCTGTTCTGTTCCCCACTCTGTCTCTGGTGAATCGTCTCACCCCACACACCTCTGGCCTGTACCCCAGCTCTTGTATGCATTAATAAATAAATCTTAAAAAAAAATTTTGTCATATGGAAAATATTGGTTCGTAAGTCTTCTATCCAAATCTTCTAAATGTTGTACTATTATTTCATTATTATATTTCATCAAAAAGAAATCATGGCAGTTAATACCATCTACTGATTTCATCGGAGATTTCTTAAAGTATTGGGAAGCTGTTGTTTTATCAGCAGCAACCAGAACTGCAGTTATTTTCTTTGCCCTAACAGTTCACACCTAGGTAATTTTTGAGAAACGTCTGCCAAATCTGCACTTCTAAAAAAACCAGAGTTTGTCATTTATTTTTTCAAGCAAAAATGTTCCATGATAAAATGAAGACTGCAATTTAAACAATGTAGAAGAGCTTGTTCTCCAGACAATCGTGCAATTTGGTATGGTGAAGTGCTTTATGCATACTTACAACTTCGTAACAGAATATTAAACACACACACACACACAAATATATATACACTCAAGGGTCAGATTTAAATAATATCAGTAATTTCTACTTTTCCAAGACATTTTAATGAAAAACTGGTACCTGATACAGAGTAAAAAGCTAAGTCCTCATGTACTTACCTTCAATTCCCCACCTAGAGGAAACCACTGATAAAAGTAGTACATAGCCCTTTCCACATATTTCAATGTATATACTTAGTAAAAATGTGGTATTATACATTATTATGCAACTGTTTTGTTTCCTCAGACATCATGTGGGCATAATATATCATTAATCTGCTTAACCATTTCTCCTAAGGGGCACTTAGTTATCTCCTTACAGGTAGTTCTGTGATCATTATCTTTGTACAGATATCCTTGATGGGTTAGATCTGAAGCCATTTGATAAGTAATATAAAGGTGTTTAACAGTTTTTTTTAAAAATTTATACTATAATTAGGAAAATCCTATTACCTGGTTAAAATCAATTTGATAAACTCAACTATAAATACATATTAAAATTAGTTTTCCCTTTTCTTGGTTCCTGGTGAAAATACTGAATTTAAGATACAAAGGATTCTGCAAAAATTAACTACTTCTGAGTCTTAGATGGTTGATGTATGTGAAGCTACCGGCTGCTGTGTATGTTTCACAACACCTTATCAGTATAGATTAAAAAAACAAAACAAAACAGATTACCCATCTGGTATTTAGCTCTGACACATTTTTAACATGCTATAAAGGCCATCTAAATTTAAACTATTCTCAACATAGGCGCTCCATACCATCTCGGCTTATAGTTCTAAAGTAAAATATCAAATTCACAGAAGGAACCAGCAATGGAAGTGATGGAGTGATGTGGGAAAAAAGTCCTCTATAAACTCTAAGTTCTCAGTGGCATTAGTTTTAATATTACCTATTAACAGAAAATAATTTTAAGTAGATACAATTTCCTACTTAAGAGCAGATTCTTAATACTATAGAAAACATGAGACTGACTTACCATCTTCGAAGGGTGTCCCTTCTGGTCTGAAAACAAGAGGATCTCTAATTAAAAGTAGTTTTCCATTTTGTTTGTCCCCCCCCACCCCCTGATTTTCAAGAGTGGAAAGAATAAATTCAAATAGAAAGAGGTTTATGGAGTTTAAAAGACACTGTTAGTTTTATATCATCTTAATTCAGTGTTCAAAGATGCAGGCATAAAGGACAACTTTCACTTTCTAAGTGTTCCTTTTAGGATGGTTTAACCAAAACCAATTTGCCATAATTCTTAGTACAAAAGAATTTCAGTTCATAAATACCAACCATTTTGTTATTATGCATATTCTTAAGAGAAATCCTATTTTCAATTTATACCAACACAATGGAAATTAATACTCTAAGATAATATTGATATCAAACCTAAGGATCCTGCTTTCAACAGAGCAGTTACTATTTTAAATTGGCTAGACATAACATGTGTCACAAAGAAAGCTAGTTTCTTTTGCTCAGATTTTTTTCTTTCACCATATCCTAATTTTGTCTTTTTTGAATAGCAGCATCAAGTTTAATTATTACTTGTAAGGCATTTTCAGGATCTCAAAGAGGAACTTTAGTAGCCTGACTTTAATATAATCCCCTTACTCTATAAGGACGAACTTTGCTCATTTTTCCACTAGTTATTAACACAGACTCTTACAAGTGAGCCAGTGAAATGCATAATTCTGTTTACAACCCTGATTTAAAAAGAGTGAATGAAAAAAAGATCAAGTTCAGGAAAACCAAAGAAAAGGCATAAGGAAATTTTAAATTAGAAAGCACATAAGCAATACATTAACAGTGCTTTTCTCAAGCTGTATCTGTCAACTCACCCAAATATAACTGCATTCCACTGCATGATATTGTTTTCAGATGGTGCACCACTGACACCCACAGGTGGGTCCTCTTGCAATCTAGAAATGCAAAGTAGTAATTTACAAAGTTGAACTTTAAGATCACTAAGGTCAGAGAGAACACCTATGAATAATACGCCATCTATTTTGAGAGATAAACTAAATCATTTCCTTGTTCTTATGCTGAGCTGGAATAAATCACCACTTCAAAAAATGCACCAAATAATATACTTATTAAATACCGGGCCTCCCCGGTGGCGCAGCGGTTGAGCGCTGGGTTGCGAAGCTGCCCACAGCCTCTGCAGTGCAGGTTCGATCCCCAGCTGCTCCCCGGCCACCAGAGGGACACACAGGGCGCGCAGACCTCTCCTGCCGCCCGCTGCTCCCCTCAGCAGTGTACTTCGGTCCTTCTGCCTGCTCTGCTCCCCGCCCTGGCTCTGGTGAATTCTCTCACCCTCCCGCGCTTCTGACTGTACTCAGTGCTTGTATAAATAAATAAAAATAAATCTTAAAAAAAAAAAAAATTGTACAAAAATGAACAATGATGTAATATATATATAATTAAAAAATATATACTTATTAAATACCTCTCCAAATCATCTTGAATTCAAAAGGGCTTAGGAATCACCCCGCTTCAAATACCATTAAGGTTAAGATAGGTCTTCAAGAGCTGATATATACTGAATGCCCTCAACTGGAAAAACACTTTTTCCCCCCAAAGATTTATTTATTTATGCATACAAGAGCTGTGGTACAGGCCAGCGATGCCGGGGGTGAGAGGATTCACCAGATACAGAGTGGGGAATAGAACGGGCAGACTGACAGAAATACACTGCTGAGGGGAGCAGCGGGCAAAACAGGAGAGGTCTCCTGCACCATGTGGGTATCTCCCTGGCTGGCTGGGGATTGAACTTGTGCTGCAGAGGCTGTGGACTACTTCATAGTGCGGTGCTTAACCCCTTGGGCCACTAGGGAGGGCCACTTTTTTTAACCCTAATTGCAGAAAGTCTTTTTTACAGAATCACTTTTATTGCTGAAAAACTTGCAAAGATTGTGTGAGTCCTAACCACAGCTACTTGTGCAACACGGTCACACACGAACAAAAAGCCAAGAACACCCCAAAATATAAAGAACCCTCAGTGTAAACACCAGAAATACTTTTACTTCGGAAACTAGTTTTAGGCAGAAGAGATACTTTATCCCATGAGCTTCAATTAGGAATGGCTTTTAAATAATTAAAGCCTCAGTGAGATTTTCCTTCATTCCCTATTTTAAAGATTCTGCACTAAGACTAAGTGTTCCTCTCAGACTGGGAGACTCCATACAACGCTATCTTCCGACATGTGTCACAGTCAAATTCTTGTAACCTGAGGACTCTTGGAAAACTACCAATGGTGACAAGTGTTCCACCCAGAACTAAGAATCTCAGTAAGAAACCAGGGCACCAATGGACATCAACTTTTTAATTGAATTTCTGTCATGGGAGGTAATGTGAAATCTTATTTTCAAGTTTTAGAAGACTACTTTTTTTTTAAAAGAGGCAAGCTTATTTATTTATTTATTTGTTTGTTTGTTTTATTATTTATTTATACATACAAGCACTGGGTACAGTCAGAAGCGAGGGAGGGTGAGAGAATTCACCAGAGCCAGAGCGGGGAGCAGAGCAGGAGAAGGACCGAAGTGCACTGCTGAGGGGAGCAGCGGGCGGCAGGAGAGGTCAGCGCACCATGTGGGACCCTCCTCCGGTGGCCGGGGAGCAGCCGGGGATCGAACTGGCGCCGCAGAGGCTGCGGGCAGCTTCGCAACCCAGCGCTCAACCGCTGCGCCACCGGGGAGGCCCTAGAAGACTACTTTTGCACCAAAGAGAAACTCTCCTTTCAAAAACTGTCACCTTATTAAAAAAAAAGTCTGCATTATATATATGTATGTGTACGTATGTATATGCCGAATGTCACGTACTATACTTTGAAATTAGTCGACCTAAGAATGGATCTTTTTAGTCAACCTCAAGAAAAATCAGGCCACCATGAACAGATATGAACACAAGTCCTAGAAGAATGATACTGCTTGACACCCACAGAAGGTAAGAGCTGAGAAACTGTGGACAGACCCAATAGTAAGTTGACCAAAGCCCAAAACAATGACTTCCAAATGCCTCACCAAAGGTTTTATAAATGGCGAAGCTGAGGTTACTTCCTGAACGGCCAATTTAGGTCTTAATACCAGCTATTTTGTCTCAATCAGGGTAGCTGAACCCAGAAAAACACTAAAAAAAGTGCAGAGGATTGCAATGCAGTTTTCTCACTCCTTTTTTCCTGCACTCGACGAAAGGTAAACAACTGGAAAAAAGGTCACTTCCTGCCCACTAACCCCAACACCTCCAAACAAAACCCTATTTTACAAAAGGAGGCCGAGGGGGTATCAGGTTAGAGCCCGGCTGACGGAAGGCATTTTTCCAGACTCTGGAGGTTCTGGCTAGGACTTTATACACAGCCTCAGAGCTGAGTTCCAGAAGGCACTGGCAGCCGGGCTCGCCAGGCCGAGTCCCCGGTCTCTAAGCCAGTTCTCAAGGTCCTTTTAGGCGGGCGGGGGAGTCGGGTTTCGGGGGATGGACTAACCACCTCCGGATCCGCGCGCAGACCCCACCCTCACTGCAGAACGAGCGGGGAGGGGAGTGTTTTCGCCCCAGCCCTGCCCCCGGAGGAGACCGCAAGGCCCTCGAGAAAGCTGACTGGTGCAGCGAGCTGGGAACCAGCCTCTGCAAGGGCTCGCTCCAGCGGGCCGGGAGGGGGCAACGCGGGGTGCAGGGGTGAGGCGGGAGAGGGGGTGAGGTCTGAGCGCTCGGGCGACGGCGCGCAGCTGGCCCTGGCCGGCAGCAGGAAATCCTAAGGCAGTCGGTGGCTACCTTTCACTTTGGGGGGAGGGGTGCCCAAATTTCTCGTATCGTGAGAGCGAGCAAGCGGGGCTGAAGAGAGCGAGCAGGAGCCAGGACGCGGCTTCCGTCGGCCCCGCCGGGCCCACAGCCGGCCCTCTTAGGGTCAAGAGGGGAAGATGTCCCGGATCCCCGCCCTGCAGTGCCGCAGCTTTGGGGAGGAGCCGTCATCCCGGGAAGGTGAAGGCCCTTACCGCTTGAAATCCCGCATGAGCCTCCTCCGGGCCGGGGTCGACATGCTCCCCAGCTGCCCCGCGGTCAGTCTGAAAGAAAAGAGTCCCGCACAGCCCCCCCACCCCCCGGCGCGGCGGCCGAATCACTGTGGGTCACCGCCGCCGCCGAGGCTGCACAAACAACCCTGCAATGACGTCTCCCTCCGCCGCCTCCAGATCCCTCCGCCCTCCGCCGGTACCACTGGAGAAGGGGTGTGGTGGGGGGAGAACGGGCCGGGGGGGTCGTCAGGGGAGCGTTTCGGCAGCTGCGATGATCCATTTTGGTTTCCTGACTAAATCGACAAGAGAGTGTTGTCTGTGCTGAGAAAAGAGAGTGTGAATTAAGAGGCACCGGACCCGAAACACACCCTGCTTCTCCCCCTCTCTCTAGTTTAGGCTCGACCGGGTGGGGAGAGAGGGACGCATCCGGGGCCAGCGATCTCAGGGAAGGAGGTGGGAATGACGTAAGCTCACGTGACCGCCGGCGGCGTTGTCAACAATCCACCCAGAGGGGGAGAGGGCGAAGTATCTAGAACCACGTGTCCTATGACGTAACTAGACACGATCACGTGAGAGCGCTTCGCTGCGATCAGAGCGGCAGCAGGTCTGTGAAGCGGGTAGTTAAGTTGAAGGTGCCGAGGGCCGGGACGCAGGTTTATTAGTTCTTTCTCCGGTTTGTCCCAGGTTCTGGGACAGCAGTCGAAGAAGTCGTGGCGGAAGCCGCAGGACGTTTTGCTTCTTAACTCTTTAAAATGGAAGTAAAAATAATTTGGAATTATGAAGCTCATCGGGTTGGTGGAATGGTTTATCAAACCTAGTACGTGGGGAAGGAAGCGGGAAGGAACCTCCATTTTCCCTATCAGTGCAGCATTGAATGCTGAGGCCCACACAAAGTGAAAATCCCCTGAAGTGCCTCCTTGGGGCTATGGAATAGCTGGCATGTGCTTTGCAGTGGGGTTGCCAGGTTGGAAAATCTGGACAAAGATGAAAGAGTGGTGGAGGCTGTTCAAGGTTATAATCTCCAGTGAATTACAGAACTGTTTTTACTTTATGAGTCTGTTCGCGCTTGAGAATTTGAATCCAAGTTTATGGGTTTGACTACAGTGGGGTAGCGTTGTACCCCATTTTTCAAGAAATGTGGTGTATGATTTCAGAGCATATAGACAGGTGTTCGGTTGTCAAACTTAAAAACAGGACTCAGATCTGGTTGCGGAGGGGTAGAGATGTGTGTGGGTTATATATCCCGGCTGGGTAACTCAGGTTTTCTACACTACCTAGTAAGGCACACCTTACCCAGTTCTGAAATGTCCCTACGCAGGAGACTGAGAGGTGTTAACTCTTGGGATTCTGACATGTCCTGTAGTTACTGAGTTCCCTCCGTCTTAACACTACTTTCTGGTCTCAGGACTTTGTTGTCAGGACGCTGAGGACTTTCAGATTCATTTGGCGAAATCTTTTTTTTTTTTTTTAAAGATTTTATTTTTTATTTATACAATAGCTGGGGTACAGGCCAGAGGAGCGGGAGGGTGAGAGGATTCACCAGAGACAGAGCGGGGAACAGAACAGGCAGACGCACTGAAAGCACTGCTGAGGAGAGCAGCAGGCGTGACAGGAGAGGCTGCTGCACCATGTGGGCATCTCTCTGGTCAGCCAGAATCGAACCTGCTCTGCAGAGGCTGCGGACAGCTTCACAGTGCTCTGCAACCTGCTGTGCCACCGGGGAGGCCCATTTGGTGAATTCTTAAGAAGGAGCTGGAATGGGAAATGGAATGAACACCTCAAGGTTACGTCAAGTTGCCCGGATATCTAGGAAAGCAGGGTTAACTTCTCCTACTTTCCTGGGACAGCCCATTATTCAAAGCCTGAATTCTATCTCTTGCTTTTAATATCTGCCCTGGTGAGCAAGTTAGCCAGGTCTAACTCTTGATAGGCTCTTCACTGCATTCATAAATGATTTTAAGATTTATTTTTATTTAAGCATAAGAGAACTGGGGTGTAGGCCAGAGGTGTGGGGGTGGTGGTGAGAGGATTCATCAGAGACACAGTGGGGAACAGAACAGGCAGATCTACTAAAATACACTGCTGAGGGGAGCAGCAGGAGAGACTGGAGAGGGGTATCTAACTGGTTCTGCAGTGGCTGCCAATAGCTTGATAGTGCTGATTAACCCTTTGTGCCACCAGGGAGGCCCCATAAATGATTCTTTAAATCAAAAATTGAATATTTGTATTTCTTTTTTTTTGGTTTTCTGTGGCAGCAACCTTAATCCTCCCGGCAGGTACTGATGACACACTAGTATGGTTACATGCAGTGAATTGCAAAAGAGAATCCTTAAAATAAAAATCCCTGTTGTGTCACTTACCTAACAACATATAATTGTTTTGAAAAACCAGTTTAGTTTCCCAAAATGAAGTAACACTTCTAACAAAATCAGTGAAAGTGTTTCATTAAAGTCTTACAGCAGAATATAAACAAGAATCACTGCTTGTCCTGGTTACTAGGACTGCCAAAACCTATTAGTACTAAGAAGAGTTCTAAAGCTATAAATTTATACAGCAGTTATTCCATAGTTCTAGATTGTGAGCTCACTGAGGCCAGGGACTCCCATGCTTGTTCCCTAGAAAATATTTGACCCACAATATTTAATAAATATGCTTTCAGCCAACTTGGGCCCACGCTGAGATTTATCATGACATTCTTATTCATATAGAAAATATTTTATAACATGGTTGAGAAACTTCAAAACGAAAGACAGTCCTGAATATTTTGGGGTGATAGAACAAAAACCGTTGCCACCTCTCTGGCCCTGCCAGTGCTCTCTCAATGTAAACCTTACAAATACTTGGGCACTTAAAAAAACAATTTATTCGCCTTATTTCATTTAAATCAGGATTAGGGGGCAACTTTTAGAATGTTACACAGGCAGCAGTCCCTCTGCCCACCTGTGACTATGCAGGTACTTCTTTTCACAAGCTCTGTCCCTCTGCAGGGCAGCAGCCTCCTGCCTGCCCTTGACCTGTATGTACCATGCCAGGACTTTTCTTCACTGACCTCCCTCAGCAGAGGCAGCTCTCCTCAAGGCCGCCCGCCTGCAACTATGCAGGCCTCTCTCAGCAAACCTGTCCCTTTCAGGGCAGCTCTTCCTGCCCGCTTTTGTCTGTTCAAGTGTCTTTTACTCTTCTATCCCTTTCCCTAATAAACCTGCCCTTTAAATATATATGTATATAAAAAGAGAAAGTTACACAGGCGTGGTTTTAATGGGCATGCTGGGATGAGACCAACTGGACTAGAATTTCTTGAATAACAGTGCTGTTTTATTCTTATTTAGGGAAAGCATAGTGAAATTGGGCCTTTCATATTTAACTCATTTTACTGAATAAATAAATGAACACTCTGTAAAAGAAGGCACTCTTGCAGCTGTGTTATTCATTGGAGCAGACCTCCATATCTAATTGCTGAGGCATGAAATAATGCCTTTCGCCTTCCTTCGGTGCCATTGCATGTCAATTCCTGTGTGGTAGAACCCTTCGGATTATTTGCTTTCCTAAAGAGCAAGTTTTAGTTTTTTAACATGTAGTAAGGTAGCTTAATAAAGGAGAATTACCACCTTTTGAAAAACCCTAAAAGCTTAAAGGTGTTCCAAGAAATGCTCTTAATCATTTTGTCCCCGTTGTAAGGATGACTGTCCACAGCTGCAGTCGAACTCAGGTTATGGGATTATTACTAGTTTGGTAAGTCATAAAACTACATTACACAAGACTAACTCGGAAGTCTTGTTTTCCAAGCCGTCTCTGATTAATGTCACGAGCCAGAATTTTTGGACACAGCACAAGCGGCAGGTGTCCTCAGGAGTGGGGGGGTTGGTATTTGCGACGAATGTCGGGACTAGCTCCCGCCTCGGTTCCCCTTTGCTAATGGATTTGCAGTCATTTAGGCTGCGGTCAAAATCTGGGTCCTCCTCATCTCCGCTGAAAACCAACCCAGTGAGAAGCCCCGGATTTGACCCCCCACCCCGCCTCGCCGTCCAGCGCGCTGCCTTGAGCGCCCGCCAGGAACGCGTGTAACCGCTTCTCGTTTTCCCTTCCGGGTCGACCCCAGCCGATGTTCCGGTCTTGCGCACTAGACCCAGGGCGCAAGTCCCGCCGCACTGTTGCCATGGTAGTGGGCCGCGGCGGTCTAGCCTGGCTAGCTGGCTAGGTAGCGTCGCTGTCTGGACCCGGCTGATACTGTACAGAGCGTGGCCCGCGGGACTACAGAATGGGCTGAGGCGGTGGCTGCTGCCCGGACAAGGTCGACTGGGGGTGAGGGGCGTGACATTGGTCCGGAACCCTAAGACCTCCGGTTTAAGGAACGGGTGGGACCGAGGTTTTCCCTGGCTGAGTGGCCTTGTATGTGGCGACTGCAATGTAACGGGCTCCTCATATTTGACAGAGGCATGACAGGAAGTTTGGGGACCCCACCCATGATGGATAGGTGATACGTAGTGAGGAAGTCTCAGTGTTAATGGGGATGACCGAAACAGCAGTAGGAATCCTAAATTCTGGTGAGTCACACGCGGACAGCTTTCTGTCGACCTGCCGGAGGTCCCAAAGATAAACAGGGTCTGTAAAGGAATACTTTTTGTTTCAGTATTTCTACATTTTAAAGTATGGGTTTATTGTGGAAATGCATTTTCTAGCTTGAGTAGATAAAAATGTAAACTTTTAACATTTTATTTCTTTTTATTTCTATGAAGAAGTTGAAGCCGGGTTTGAAAAACATGGAGATGTATGAAACCCTCGGAAAAGTGGGAGAGGGAAGCTATGGAACAGTCATGAAGTGTAAACATAAAGACACTGGACAGATAGTGGCCATTAAGATATTCTATGAGAAACCAGAAAAATCTGTCAACAAAATTGCCACAAGAGAAATAAAGTTTCTGAAGGTTTGCTTCTTTTGCCTTCACTGCTATTAAATCAAGGGAAAAATCATAATGGAATAAGAATTATATAAAGAATATTTCACCTGACAAATGTGTTAAGACATGTAAGAGAAAAACACGAGTGATGCCCTAGTTGTCTACGTTCTGTAATTTTATAGTGATACAAGATGTATGTGTTTATCTATAATGCAACAACCTATGCCAAAATTTGTAAAATATTCAGAAATATTGAAATATAACACTTAATAAAATTGACTGCTTTGTGCAAGGCATTATACTAGATGCTAAGGCTATAGGGAGGTAAGTTAGTATATTCTCTTCAGGACTGTTTTTTAAACAGAAATTAGGCTTATATAAAAATAATGCTGAATTAAAAGTGGTTCATAATAAATACCAAATCTTTAACCCAAAATTCTATTGGGTAGGGACGGTTTCTTGGAGGAATTGGGATGTTACAGGATGTGTAGAATTTAGGTAAGGGGGAGAACTATTGTATTCCAGGTTAGGGAAACAAGCTCAAAAAGTCTATAGCAGGACAAAAAGCTTAGTGGAAAGGATAAACAGCAGAGATATTTGCTCATAGATTTTCTTGTACCGAGGTAGAAGGTGGGCGTAAAGTAATTGGGGGTGGATTTTAAAGTCTTTTAGGCTAAAGAGTCAAATTTGATTTTAGAGGTGAAGGTTTTGAATTTGGTGTAAAGAGGCTCTAATTTAGCACTGTTGTTTAGAATAGATTGGAGACTGAGAGGATCAAAAGTAGGGAGTTCTTTTATGAATTTAATTTAGGAATTCTGATAAATATGAAGGCCTTCCTAGAATGCAGTAATTTGAATGGAAAGTAAAGTTAAAACAAGGCATGTTGCAAGACGAGACATGAAAGAGTGGGGGAAAGTGCCAGAGGTATCTGAGGTTTTGTGACTGCTTCTATTGATGAAAATATGGAAGACCTAAAAGAACCATTGTCTGGAAACTAGTTCAGTTTCAGAAATGTAGAATTTGAGGTGATGGGAGTACACGCATGACTAGTAGGTGTCTAAAGAGAAGTGACAACATCAAGAGAGATGTGTGCAGAAAGTAGAATCATGTTATAGGTTAACCCAGGTAAAAAGCTAGAGTGTAAAGAAGGGAGCATTAACATTTCTTTGGGATTGGTTATAAAACTAATGGTTTTTAAAGGTATATATATATTTAATTTGTTGGAGTTTATGTAGATGCTTAAGACAATACAGTGTAGATGTCTAGATGCTTTATTTTTTTTTAAAGATTAATTTATTTATGCATACAAGAGCTGGGGTACAGACCAGAGATGCGGGAGGCGAGAGGATTCACCAGAGACAGAGTAAGGAACAGAATAGGCAGATCGAGTGAAATACACTGCTGAGGGGAACAGTGGGCGAGTCAGGAGAGGTCTGCTGCGCCATGTGGGTTGCTCCCTGGCAGGCCAGGGATGGAACTCGCGCTGCAGAGGCTGTGAATTGCTTCATAGTGCGGTGCTTAACCCCTTGCACCACCAGTGAGGCCCGATGTCTAGATGCTTTATATGTGATAAAGCAAACAGATGCTCTTGTTCATTTTTATTTGATACAAAAGTCATCTTTTAAATCTAGATTAGATATGGTGGATCAGCATACTTTCTGTATAAAAATATATTAGGCATCTGTGAATGTCAGTTTCTGGACAATGAAAAGTTAAAGTCAGTAAAGATTAAAGATTTTGTGAAAGATGCTGGTCCTTAGCCTGATGACCTAGGTGAAAATCTGGTTTGAGACCTCTTCCAACACATTATCTTTTGCTCTTGTTTCTACTTTGTGGTGTTTAAGCTGATTGTCATTTCTTCCTACATAATCATGTAGTAAAAATGACCAATATGTGGCAAGAACTTAGAGATGAATTTGAAAATATACTTCATTACAATTATTATGCAAACTATTTTGAGATACTTAGCTGTGTATTCCCATTGTTATATTTCTTATGGAATTTTTAGTTTGATCTAACTCTACTAGATCCAATTAATGCCTTAGATTAGTTAATGGTCTTCGTTAACTAATTTGGTTAACTTAGTTAATTTAGTTAACTAAGCTAGTTAACTAAGTTAACTTAGTTAATCAAAGATTGCCATAGTGGTTTTGAACCAAAATTTTCTCTACTAGATGTTTCATTAAATAGAACACAATTTGACTCATTAGAATATCTGTAGAAAAGTTGTCTAGTAATGAAGGGAAACAAAAATAACTTGAAAAGGGGCAGTGTAGCTTTTCTAGGTTTTCTGTGGTTTATCTAAGAAAGTATCTGATTCTTTTTCCTTGGATGTCTCTTCACTGATACTTATTAACTAACATTGACTCTTTGCTGCTTTTGCCTTTGAAATAAAGACTGGACAGGAAACCAGTAATTTTCCTCAGTTGTAGGATAAATACTGTAGTGTCCAAAAACAGTTGATTCATTTTTGCTACTGCCAACATGTTGTGGCTGCAGCACTGTGGCATCTTGCCAACTAGGGGAATTGGGAGCAAAAATAGGAATCTGTCATATATTTTGGCATGATTTAGTCATGTTTTAAGGACTTTAGAATCTGTACTACTAAAGAGAATAAAAAAAATTTGATGTGCCATTGGAATGAAAGCCAATATTTTTTTCATAAAAGTATAGTTTCCTAATGAATCTTAACATTGAGAATATAACACTTAATTTTTAGCCAAATGAATAAGTATTTTTGGTAATTTGGTAGAACATGTTAAATATTTGAGAATTGACTGTAATTAAGTCAGTGTGTTAAAAAATAGGGTAAGTGACATAAAATATTACACCTCATTTATTTTCTGGGTTGATCATAGCCATTTTTTGACATTTTGAAATTATTTTAACAGTGATAGCAATCCAATTTTTTTTTTTTTTGCTTAACACAGTATTGCAAACAATGACTAAGAATCTATCTACACATGATTATGTATTTATGTAACGTTTCTACGGCTCTAAATTGCTCATTCTCATATCTGAAAAGTTATTGATTTTTTTTTAAAGATTTATTTATGCATACAAGAGCTGGGGTACAGGCCAGAGATGCAGGGGTTGAGAGGATCCACCAGAGACAGAGTGGGGAACAGAACAGGCAGACTGACCGAAATACACTGCTGAGGGGAGCAGCGGGCAAGACAGGAACAGTCCCTCGCCATGTGGGTTTCTCCCCGGCCGGCTGGGGATCGAACCCATGCTGCAGAAGCTGTGGATTGTTTCACAGTGCAGTGCTTAACCCCTCTCGCCACCAGGGAGGCCCAAGTTCTTGATATTTTGATGTTCTTTTTTTACAGTATCATGAATTTATAATGCCCACCTGGAACTTACTTTTTATTTTTAAGAGTTTGGCTCAAATTCAGATTAGCTAATTTCTGTAAATTTAGATCACATACCCAGTGGCACTGAAATCCATCCTCATTTGAAAACAGAAGGATCTTTGAAATTTCAGATGTTAAATTTAACCACAGACCAGATTCAAAGGCAGCAAGGTGTCTTTTAGCAGTTATCATATTTATATCATATTAGCAGTTATATTTATCACATTAATTTTAAATTATTCTAATGAACATCAAGTACCAATTTGAAGTAAAGCAATATATATTTGTTCTACAAATACTGATTATTGAAATAGATTAATAATTTTCTTAAAATATTGAATGCAAGAAAATCAGTTCTGTTGAAATGCCTGGAGAAAAAGAAACAGAGTATTTCTTCTTTTCTAAGCTATATAGATAGTATATATACAAATTATTGTGCTTGAAATTTGTTAAAAATCCATTTCTTTTGTCAATAGCAATTCCGTCATGAAAATCTGGTGAATCTGATTGAAGTTTTTAGACAGAAAAAGAAAATTCATTTGGTGTTTGAATTTATTGACCACACAGTATTAGATGAGTTACAACATTATTGTCATGGACTAGAGAGTAAACGACTTAGAAAATACCTCTTCCAGATCCTTCGAGCAATTGAGTATCTTCACAATAATAATGTAAGTGCATCAGAGTAAGCTAACCTGTAGGATGAATATGAATCGTAATTGCCCTTCAAGTATTGTTTAATTTTTATGAACGTTGTTAAAATAATTTTCTGTACAATATTAATTCACATCCTGCAAGTGGAGAGGGATACTAAGCAATCTCTACCTTACAATTTAATTCTAGAACCAAAAAACATTGTGCACACAGTTGGGATGCTAAAGGAGGCATCACTAATGAGGTATAGAGGAACCAACAGTTAACTAACTGGAGCACGTTTTTTAGAGAGATTAAAATATTGAAAGTCTAGCTAGCTTAAGTCAAGGGAGGTTGGAGGTAGGAACTGGAAACTTGGCCAGGGGAATGGCAAGTGAATGTAGATGTCTTTAGGGGAAGAAAGGAGAAATAAATTAGTGAGAGATGCAAGGTTTGTGTTTAGGCTATAAAAACATCAAGAAAGGATTTGTAGTGTTGCTTTCAGCATTGCCTAATAAGTATTTAGCTCAGCTGTTTTTTATGGAAATATTTTGTTCCCAATCTTACCTCTACTTTCTGGAAAGTTAGATATATATTCAGGAAGTGATAGTAAAGGTCTCTGTAGGGGCAGGAAGGCATAGTGCAGGATCTCTATGATCTGAGCAGACAGGTAAAGGAAAGTCCTGGAGCCCTCTGTGGCTTTTTCAGGCTTTTATTGATCTTTTACCCGGGGGCCGGGAGGCTGGCAGAAACTTTACTCTTTCTGGGCTCTCTGGCATTCTCTTATGGTCTCTGCTTCTCTGCTGGTTCTGCTCTCGTTCCGTTGCTCTCTTCTGCTAGTTCTGTTCTGCTGTCATCCCCCTGATGCCGCCCTTATAAGCCCATTCTCAACCCAGGTGTGCCCACCTATGCAGGCCCATACCCCGCTCCAGGTGTCCGCCATCAGGCATGCACGAAGGATCTCAGGAATCCATCAATGCTAATGGCAGGAGGGCATAAAAGCCTGATAATCACTTACTCTACAGTCTCAAAAATAGATTTATTATAAAAAATAGATTTAATTATTCAGCGACATAGCATCTGTGTATTCCAGGCTTTTTCATGTATCTTAATTGCTAGTTTTTTGTCTTGCTAATAGTGCATTTCCTTTTGTGACTTTGAAATCTATGGTTGTGATTGCAACTGAAATTCAGATTATAATTTCTTGCCACTTGGCTCCGTGGGGAGGCAGTATAATATAATTTAGGTGCACAGTCTTCTGAATCAGATTATCTTGAATTTTTTCCTAAGAGTTAATGGATAACTACACAAATTGTGATGCAGTTCACAACTTGCATAAACAAAGGTGGCAGCCCAATTACTCTGTGGCCCCGGAAATATTATCTAACCTCTCTGAACCTCATTTTCCCCGTCTGTAAAATGATACTATAGTACCTTACAGATTTATTTTAAAACTCAAACTAGGTATAGAATATTTAGCACTGTGTCAGGCACATTTCAGTGCTTAATAATAGTGCTGGTAGGGACTCAGAATAGTTCTGGTAATGTAGCCATATAGTGCTTCTCTATAATGGACTTTAAAAATGTTTTCTGAATAAAGGGAGACATCACTATGAACTGGACATATTCTAGAGACATTCAAAGAGGAGATCAAATAAGTAGAATTTTCAGCTGAAGCTAGGATTACATTAGAATACAGAGGACGTACATTCAGGTGGGGTATCACTCTAAGTATGGAGGTAGACAATAGGGAAATTTTGAAAGTGGTGATGTCAGCTTGCAGAGAGACCAGGTAAAGGGTAGTAAGATTGCATAGGTTCACTGGGGAGAGGTATTCCCAAGTACTAAAATGCATCCTGAGTTTAAGACTTTTTTCCTGAGTATACTGGGAAATTGTGGAAAGTTTTTGAACATTGCTCTGAGGGAATAAAAACAAGACCTAAACTTTGGCTTGTGTAAAGCATGTGTATGCATAGGTACTCAGATCAGGTGAAAGGCTATTTTGGCAGTCTAGATATTTGGTGGTAAGAGCTTGATCTAGGATAGAGGCAATGGGAAAGAGGAAGGCTATTGGGGAGAGGATCAAAAGGCTTCAAAAGATAAATGAGGGCCTCCCCGGTGGCGCAGCGGTTGAGCGCTGGGTTGCGAAGCTGCCCGCGGCCTCTGCAGCGCCGGTTCGATCCCCGGCTGCCCCCGGCCACCAGAGGAGGGTCCCACATGGCACGCAGACCTCTCCTGCCGCCCGCTGCTCCCCTCAGAAGTGTACTTCGGTCTTTCTGCCTGCTCTGCTCCCTGCTCTGGCTCTGGTGAATTCTCTCACCCTCCTGCACTTCTGACTGTACCCAGTGCATGTATAAACAAAACAAACAAGCAAACAAATAAATAAATAAAAACATGCCTCTAGAAAAATTAAAAAAAAAAAAGTACAAAAAAAAAAAAAGATAAATGACAGGATTTGGGAAATAAAATATGAAAGATGCAAACAAAGGGAGAAATAAAAAATAATTATAAGATTTTTAATTTGAGAGCAGAATTATGCTATCAGCACTCAGTAATTTTAGAGGGTAGAATTGCTTGTAAACATATTGATATATCTTTATGGACAGTGAGAATTTTTTTGAGGGGGAGACTGAGAACTTCTAGGTAAAATAGTGGTTAGTTATAATTATTTATATAACAGGCCCTTAGGATGCTGGATATATCAAATTTGGAATCTTGATCTTAGAGGCTGCAGTTACAGGACATAGAAAAGTAGAGGACTGTCCTCAGCATTACATGCAAAAGAATACCCTTGGGTATGTGGGAGGCAGCAAGAGCCCTAGACAGAAGCAACCATATTCTTTTATTTATTTTTTTTATGGTGAAAAAATTTATATTTAGAATTAGCCAGCTGTACTAGTTGAGATGATCACAGTTTTGTTGGCAACATCTAAAGCATCCTACTCAGGAGCCAGTCAAACACAAGCCTTCTCTTTATCACATCTGATGAGAGTGTTGACCTTGTCCACATCAGTGTCATTGAGCCTGTTTGATCGGGGCCTATTGGCCTTCACATCCGCAATGTTGTCTTCTGTCTTCTTCATGACTGACTTGGTGTTCAGGGGGAAACTGATGAAACTGATGAAGACCATCTCCTGGGATGGTCTTCTGAGGATATTTGGGTTGCTTTAAAAGCTGCAGTGTGTCGGGTAGTCAGAAAGTGGTGACCTGTGGGTCTTTTCCTGTGGCTGCAGATGTTTTTCAGCACTGCTTTCTTGGTCTTCAAATCTTTGACTTTGAGAGAGGCAGAAGCTTCCTTCTTTGCTTTCAGTGCCTTCATCTCTTTTAGTCTTTTCGTTTAAGTAGAATCTGGAGTAAAATGATCCCCATTTGGCACCTCGTAGAATGTTGCAAAATTCGATACTTTTTTTTCTAAAAAAGATTTGTTTATTTATGCATACAAGAGCTGGGGTACAGGCCAGAGATGGGGGGGGGCTGTGAGAGGATTCACCAGAGACAGAGCGGGGAATAGAACAGGCAGACTAACTGAAACACACTGCCGAGGGGAGCAGTGGGTGAGACAGAAGAGGTCTGCTTCACCGTGTGGGTTGCTCCCTGGCCAGCCGGGGATCGAACTCGTGCTGCAGAGACTGTGGATTGCTTCATAGTGCGGTGCTTAACCCCTTGCACCACCAGGGAGGCCCCCTCCATCACCACTGTTCTTTGTGTTCTTCCCACCCTCGTTTTGATTCCTCTCCCTCCCCTCCCCTGCAGAATATCTCTGATTTATAGCTGTCTGTTTATTTTTGTTTAAAATATTTGATCTTATAAGCCTCTTCAAAATCATTTTGGAAGCAGTCAGAGGTGTTTTTTATTAGCAGTCAGAGTTTAAATGCAAATATTTGGTCTTTTGGGGACATAGAAATGGTTTAGTCATCCTTCATTTATTCAGCAAATATTTACTGAGCATCTTACAGTAGCAGACATTGATTGTACTAGGTGCTGAAAATGCAGCCTTGCATGAAATAGTTGGAGATTTTAACTCTCTTCTTAGATTGGTATTTAAATTCAAGCATATAGGCCCAAATAGAGCAGGGGCATTACAAAATACTGTAACACAAAGTTTTAAGTACTTCTAGAGCATTTCACTACAAAGTTAAAGAGACTCAAACTCATTCCTGAATCCAAAATCTGTTAGTTCACACTGTATACAAAAGTTAACTGAAAATGGATCTAAGACCTAAATGTAAAAGCTAAAACTATAAAAACCTTAGGAAAAAATATAGGTGAAAATCTTTATAACCATGTATTAAGCAGTAGTTCTGTAGGTCTGACACCAAAAGTGAAAGAAATCTAAGGAAAAATATACAAATTGAACTTCATCAAAATGAAACACTTTTGTTCAAGACACCATCAAAGAAATAAAAGGACAATTCATTGAATGAGAGAAAATATTTGTAAATCATATATCTGATAAAAACCTAGTAGTCAGGGGGCCTCCCTGGCATTGCAAAGGTTTAGGTCTCAGCACTATGAAGCTATTGGCAGCCACTGCAGCATGAGTTCGATCCCTGGCCAAGGAGCTAACCCACATGGCACAGCAGACTTCTGTTTCACCCCTGCTCCCCTCAGCAGTGTATTTCAATCCATCTGCCTGTTCTGCTTCCCACTCTGTCTCTGGTGAATCCTCTCACCCCCCCCGACCCCCCACATCTCTGGCCTACACCCCACTTCTTGTATGCATAAATAAAAATAAATCCTTAAAAACAAACAACCAACCTAGTAACCAGGACATGTAAAATACAACTAAACAATAAAAACACAAATAAACCAATTTTTAAATGGGCAAAGGACTTGAAGAGACATTTCTCCAAAGAAGATATACATATGCGTGATAGCACATGAAATGATGCTCACCATCATCCGTCATGGAAATGCAAATCAAAATCACAATGAGATCCCACCTCACACCCACTAGACTGCCTTTAATTTAAAAGCTAGGCAATAGCAGATGTTGGCAAGGAAGTGGAGACGTTGGAACCCTCATGTGGTGCTAGTGGTGATGTACAATGGTGCAGCTGCCATGGAAGACATTTTGGCAGCTCCTCAAAAACTTAATCATAGAATTACCATATGACCTAGCAATTTTCCTCCTAAATATATATCCAAGAGAATTGAAAGCATAGATTTTGTATAAAAACTTGCATAGGAATGTTCATGTCATCCTTATGATAGCCAAAAATAATCAAATGTCTATCAGCTGATGAATGGACAAACAAAATGATGTCTATCCATATACTGGAATTTATTCAGTTGCAAAAAGGAATGAAGTACTGATATAAGCTATAAGAATGAATCTTGAGTGCCTCCCCTGGTGGCACAGGTGGTTGAGCACAGCACTATGAAGCTGTCCTCAGCCTCTGCAGCATCCATTCTATCCCGGCCAGCCGGTGAGGGTCCCACATGGCGCGGCAGACCTCTCCTATCTCACCCTCTGCTCCCCTCAGCAGTGTATTTTGTCAGTCTGCCTGTTCTGTTCCCCATTCTGTCTCTGGTGAATTCTCTCATCCTCCCGCACATCTGGCCTGTACCCCAGTTCTTGTATGTATAAATAAATAAATAAACAAACAAATAAATAAATAAACCTTAAAAAAAAAAGAATGAATCTTGAAAAATTAATGAAAGACCACATAGTGAATTATTATATTAAAATAAATTATCCCAAACAGACAAATTCATATTTTTATGTGTTCTTCGAAGAAATGTTTATTTAAATCCTTTGTTCATTTTTTAATTTGGTTTTTGTCTTTTTATTATTAATAGGTATTTTGTATATTTTGGGTACCTGATGCTTAGCAGAGATATGATTTGCAAATAACTTCTATTCTTTGAATTGTTTTTTTGCTTGATAGACAGTTCTTTTTTATTTAAAATTATAAATCATTTTTTCTCTTTATTTGCTGAGATATTGTATTCATACTTATTTACTGAAGGCTGGCTCTGTGTATGGGACGTAACTTCACTATTCAGGTAGGCTGTTTACAACTCTGGCTTGGCCTTGCCTTTCTCTTCGTGCAGAGCCTCACTGTGAGCAAGAAGTGAGAGCTTAGGACCATCTCAGGTCTCTCCTGGACCTGTGTCTAGCACTGTCATATGTGCAGGCTTCCTGAGTCTCACAAATATGTTGGAACTTTTCAGGTCCTCTATGGAGATCTCACTCTGAGCCTTTTGTTTTTAAGTGTTTTGGTAACATTGCTGTTTGCCCTAATTGTTTAAGTTGCTTCATGTGGCTGCACAGTAGCCACTAATTATTTCTGACAAAGATCCCAGGAGAAAGACTGTTTGCACTGGACAAGTTCTAAACTAGGGCAACTAGAGATAAGCTTTGTGGTGTGATTTTCCAGGGAACTGCTGGACTGACCAAATGACAGTTACCTGGAATGGGGCTTTGGAGGAAATACAGCCCTGTTCAACTTACATTATTTGGAGGCTGATTGGTTTTCAAGGTTATTAGGAGCTGGGGAGAGGGGAGTAGAAATAGGGTAAGTGAAGAATACCATAAAGCTCACTGCTTCTACTGAAATTTGGTCACTTTTTGGATTTTTGTAGACCTTTTGTTAATTTCCAAATCCTGGAAAAGTTAATTTTAGCATTTCCCCCCAGTATTTTCATAAGTTTATTGAGGAGAGTATTTTTGGAGGTACTCAATTTGCCATTCCCACTGACATAACCCCCTTGACTCTTTATCACACTGCCTTCATAATTTTTAATTAGTTTGTTTATTGTTCTTTTGGAAATCTGCCTTTCCTATCAGAATGTAAACTCTATGAGTGTAGAGACTTTGCTATTCATTGCCCAGAATAGTATTTTCAATAGAACAGGTCTCAATGTTTGTAGAAAGAATGGATTGAACTAATAGGTTGTACCAATAATCAGGGATATTATTGAGTGCTTGTAGTGCAAGGATACTTTTTATTTTTTATTTATTTATTTTTTTAAAAATATTTATTTATTTATGTATTTATTTATACAAGCACTGGGGTAAAGTCAGAAGCGCAGGAGGATGAGAGAAATCACCAGAGCCAGAGCGGGGAGCAGAGCAGGCAGACTGATGAAGTACACTGCTGAGGGGAGCAGCAGGCGGTAGGAGAGGTCTGCGCGCCATGTGGGACCCTCACTCACCTGGTGTCTGGGGATCTAACCGGCACTGCAGAGGCTGCTGGCAGCTTTGCAACCCAGCGCTCAACTGCTGCACCACTGGGGAGGCCCGCAAGGATACTTTTAAAACATCAATCAAGCATTTGGGTGACTCATTATATTAATTATTATTATCTTTTTGATTATTGTTATTTAGTGAGTCTGATTTGTTGGTTTTTTTTTTGAGAAGTAAACTGATCTTTATTCACAAATGACATAATCATCTAAATAGAAAATCCTGTGGAATCTAGAACAAAGTTGACAGAAGTAATTAGTAAATTTATTAGGGTTGTAGGCTACAAGATCAATATGCCAAAATTAATTGTACTAACAATGAAGTTAGTTGTTGAAAAGAGTGAGAATGTTGAGTATCAATGGGATGGATCTTTCTGCCTCATTTTAAGAGCACTGAAGAAAAGGGTGATGGATGTGTGGTAGGCAGAATGTGTGAAATGGCATCTTAATGTGCTTTTCCATGTCTATTTTTGCTCATGTTATATCCTCAGATCTTGGCATAGTGGCTAGCATATAGTAGTCACTCAAGGAAAGTTGTGGGAGTAAAAAAGAATTATACAGTTCTGCAGATGGCAACTTTAAGACTTATCCTATGTTAATTTGTTTGCCATTTATCAAGGGAGTCTGAGGTAGAGAGCCAGTCCCAAAGACTCACAATACTCAGTTGCAAAAATAAGAAAATATCAACAGATTTTTGTCTCTGAGCTCTTCTCACTACTCATGCTGTGATGCAGTGTTGGTGATGAGTGTATATTTCTACTCATTTGATAATATTTTTAAATGTGTCTTTGTTCTGGCACTGTACTGAGTATTGGGGATTTAGTTTGAACAAGGCGGACACACATCATGGCCTCCTGCAGCTTACCATCTGGTGGGTGGGAGTTACAAGTAAACAGGCAGTTACTAGTATAACATGACAGATATTACCATGTGCGAGGTACAGTATGATATAAGTACACATAGAAGAAACATCTAATGCAAACATCTATGCTGAGACCTAGGAAATAGTTGGCCACGCAAATTGTAGGCAGTTGAAACAGCAGCAGCAAATACATAGTGATGAGACAAGCCCTAAAAATTTAGGAAACTAATATTCTATAGGTTATGGATGGGAGATTGAGAAGTTGAGCAGGGGTCACATCCTACAAGGCCTTTCAAGCCATTTTAATGAATTTCTAATTTATCCTATAGGATTGGAAATCTTTAAAGGATATTAGAGAAGTGACATGATCACACATGTGATTTCAAAATAGTACAACGACCTCATTGTGGACAGTGGATTGAAGGGCATCAGAGTAAATTCAGGGAGACCAACTGATAGTGTAGTAGTTTTGGGGAGAACTGAGGGCACTTGAATTAGGGAGAGAAGCAGACAGATTAAGAGTGTTTAGGGGCTGAGGGAGAAGAGTGCCTTGGTCTTGCCTTGAACCATGGTGGGGAGTGTCAGTGTTGGTTCCCTTCACTGAATTAAAAGGCTGTAAGGACAGTCTTTTAGTAGTTGGTTTGTTAGAAAAGATGATACATTTAGTTTTGTATTTGCTAAGTTTCAGGAGTGTGGGGGCCTGCCTTGTGGAACATCTTGTGAACTTGCACTCCTTGTAGAAACTGAAAGATATAGCTTCATTAGAAATTTGGAAATTATAAGTATATCTGTATATATACTGATATATATGTGGATATCTATGTACTGAGACATACAGACTATGTAGTTGTATATATTATATATATGTGTGTAAATACTGAAGATATATTTGCAGATGAGATCAAGATAAAGCAGCCAGTATGTGGGAAGACACCCAAGAGAGTATGGTGTCTCCATAATTAAGTGAAGAAAGTGACCCCCTCAAAAAATATGTAGATGAGATTATTCAGGCAACCTGATGTAAAGTAAGACTAAGACTAGAACCCTACATTTAAGTGGCAGATAGAGGAACTGCTGTAGAGATAGAAAGAAATTGTAAGACATCAAGGAAGATATGTATGGAGGGGTGGGTATTGGATATAGCAGCTGTGAGGATTTTCATGACTGGCTAGGGTGGTTTAATGAACTGTGGGATCAGAAAAAAGATTACAATACCTTGAGGAGTGAATAAGTGGTCAGAAAGTAATTTCTGATAAAGATATTTTCAAGAGGTTTTACAGTGAAGGAAATTAGAAAGGGGGCAGTATCTGGAGTGTGGCCTGGAGTTGAAAGTTTTTTTACTAAGTTCTGTTGATTACTTTTCCTTTTTAGGAAAGTGATTTACCTTTTTAGGCTCTTTTCTTGTTTTTTTAAGAGGATGGATGGGGCAAGAATTGAAAATATATACTCTTTAGCTTCTACCTTATACAGTTAATCCTTTGATGTGGTAAGAAAATTGCTTTTCTGTCTCAAATAGCTAGATTTTCTCTGTATAATATATGAGATTCTCTAGTTAAAAATGAAACCTCATTTTAATACATGGCATCTTCTGTTTGTTTTTTAGATCATTCATCGAGATATAAAACCTGAGAATATTTTAGTATCCCAATCAGGAATAACTAAGCTCTGTGATTTTGGTTTTGCACGGACACTAGCAGCTCCTGGGGACATTTATACAGACTATGTGGCCACACGCTGGTATAGAGCTCCAGAATTAGTATTAAAAGATACCTCTTACGGAAAGTATGTATATTTTGGGATCCTGTGTGATCTTTCCTAGCCAACTCTTCTCTCCTTTGGTGTATTTGTCACCCCTACTACTGATATTCTCTGCAGTCTGTGTCTGGATTGGGGCGAAGAAAGGAATATCTCAAAATAGAACACAGAGTTCCTGTAGGCACCTCCCCTGCTGGCTACTGATGCTGCCATACTTGCCCTCTGGAACTGAGTGGCGTCAGCTCCAGGAGACCAGGGCAGACATCTCTCAGGTTGTACCTGTGCTTGTGTTAAGCTGTGCCCGGTGCTCGGTCTTATTGCCCTCTCTGCTTATCTTTAGCTTCTATGTTCAGCAAAGATGTAAAATCTCTAAATTTATCTTACTCTGTTAGTGTTATCGCCAAAACTGCCAAGTTTCTTACTTCCTGGAATATGGCAACCTCTTTACAAGAACTGGCAAATAAATTATAAAATCATACTATTCTAGATGCCTCAAAAAACAGCACAGTCTCAGTGTCTTGTGAAACAGCACAGATAGTGCAAAACAGCAATTGGATGTACGCAATCAGTCTGGAAGAACATAAAGGGACCAGGTCATACACTTAATATAAGAAATTGGAGGGGAGGCTGTTCTTTCATGTTTTCTTTAGAAAACAGTAAAATACTGTAGCAACTTTGAATATGAGACTCATCATTCGGGCTTGTTAATTTGATTTGCTTGTTTATATTATGGTGATTGACTGAATTATTTTAGTGAAGTATATTTCTATATACTCCACCCCTTTCAATCCCCATGCCCCACACACTCACACTCACATATGCAATAAGTCTCTGTTCTTGCACCTCAGGCAAGCACAATTTGAGTAGATCCACAGTCACTCTGGGATGACTGGTATTAGTAGGTTTCTTTTTTCCCAACTATGCCTAATTATAAAACTCCACTAATTGATGTCTGTTTGGTGTGTTGTTTTCAGCATTGCCCTAGGGTTTTAATTGTCCTGCAAACTAACTCAAATTAAGGTTCTTCAAAGAAATCCTTTCTGTGGTTAGTATTTAATCTGACCCCAGGAAGGCTTCTTACATTGTTTCATTCTCTGGCTGTTTCCTGCAAACTAACATATAGAATAGATTCCTCCTTCTTTTCCTAGGTAGAGTATTTGAGCCAGAGCTCTGTAGTTGGTATAGGGATAATGCATTCTTCTATCAAAATGACACTTCACTTCGAGATGAGGTTGTTTCTTTGCGTTCTTTCTTGTTTCTTGATGTGAGCTTCTATTGCTATATATTTTCCTCTTATTACTGCTTTTGCTGCATCCCATACATTTAGGATATTAGTGTCCTCCTTGTCGTTCAATTCAAAAAATTTTTTAATTTCTTCTTTGATCTCCTCATTAGTCCAATGGTCTTCCAGTAGTGTGGTTTTTAATCTCCATGAGGTAGGAAAGTTCCTTGCCTTCTTTTTATGGTTTATTTCTAGTTTGATGCCTTCATGGTCAGAAAAGATGGTTGATATGATTTCAATCTTGGTGTATCTGTTGATGTTTGTCTTGTGCCCCAGTATGTGATCGATCCTGGAGAATGATCCGTGTGCGCTTGAGAAAAATGTGTACTCCGTTTTTTTGGGGTTTAGTGTTCTATAGATGTCTGTTAAGCCCAATTGCTCTAGGTCCTTATTTAGAGCTTTGGTTTCTTTACTTATTTTTTGTCTTGTTGATCTATCCATTGTTGATAGTGGTGTGTTGAAGTCTCCCACTACGTATGTGTTTTCTCTGATGTCTGTTTTCAGAGAGGACAATAGTTGTCTGATATATTTTGGTGCTCCTTCGTTTGGTGAGTATATGTTAATGAGTGTTATTTCTTCTTGAAGTATTGTCCCCTTGATCATAATGTAGTGACCATTGGGGTCTCTTTTTATCTTTTTGAGTTTGAAATCTGTTTTATCTGATATAAGTATAGCTGTTCCTGCTTTCTTTTTTGGTCCATTTGCTTGTAGGATTGTTTTCCATCCTTTATCTTTGAGCCTATTTTTATCTTTTGTAGCTAAATGTGTTTCCTGGAGACAGCAAAAGGTTGGGTTTTGTTTCTTAATCCAGGCTGCCACTCTGTGTCTTTTTATTGAAGAGTTTAGTCCATTTACATTTAGAGTTAATATTGATATGTTAACATCTGTATTTGCCATTGTGTTTGTCTTTCCTTTGATTTTATTTATTTATTCTTTTAATAACTTTTTTTTTCTTTTTTTTTGGCCTTCTTTCATTGTTATTCGTCCCTCTGAGGTTCAAAACCAGTAGAAGAAAAGAAATAATAAAAACCAAAGCAGAAATAAATGAAATTGAAACTAAAAAAACAATCCAAAAGATCAATGAAACCAAGAGCTGGTTTTTTGAAAAAATAAATAAAATAGACAAACCCCTAGCCAGGCTCACAAAGGAAAAAAGGAGAAAGCACAAATAAACAGGATCATCAATGAAAGAGGAGAAATCACAACGGACACAGCAGAAATTAAAAGAATAATCAGTAACTACTATGAACAGTTATATGGAAACAAGTTTAACAATCTAGAGGAGATGGACAAATTCCTACAACTCTACAATCACCCAAAGCTAGATAAAGAAGAAATAGAACACCTAAACAGACCAATTACAAGCAGCGAAATTGAAATGGTAATAAAAAACCTCCCCAAAAACAAAAGCCCAGGACCTGATGGATTTACAAATGAATTCTACCAAACATTCAGAGACGAATTAGTGCCTATCCTTCACAAACTCTTCCAAAAAATTGAGAAGGAAGGGACAATACCAAACACATTTTATGAAGCCAACATTACACTAATACCAAAACCGAACAAGGACAACACAAAAAAGGAAAACTACAGGCCAATCTCCCTAATGAACACTGATGCAAAAATCCTCAATAAAATTCTAGCTATCAGAATCCAACAATGTATCCATAAGATAATTCACCACGACCAAGTTGGATTCATTCCAGGGGCACAAGGATGGTTTAACATCCGAAAATCAATCAACGTTATCCAACACATCAACAAAAAGAAATATAAAAACCATATGATAATATCAATAGATGCTGAGAAAGCTTTCGACAAAGTGCAACACCCATTCATGATAAAAGCCCTTGAAATTCTGGGGATACAAGGAACATACCTCAACATCATAAAGGCCATCTATGACAAGCCAACAGCCAGTATCATTCTCAATGGTGAAAAGCTGAAAGCAATTCCATTAAGATCTGGAACAAGACAAGGATGTCCACTCTCACCATTGCTTTTCAATATAATACTGGAAGTCCTAGCCAGGGCAATAAGACAAGAGAAAGACATCCAAGGAATCCAAATAGGAAAAGAAGAAGTCAAACTATCACTATTTGCAGATGATATGATATTATACATAGAGAACCCCAAAAACTCCACAGAAAAGCTAATTCAACTCATCAATCAGTTCAGTAAAGTGGCAGGATACAAAATCAACACGCAAAAGTCAGTAGCCTTCCTATACACAAACAATAAATCTGAAGAAGAAGAAATCAAAAAGACCATCCCTTTTGTTATTGAAACAAAAAAAATCAAATATTTGGGAATAAATCTAACAAAAGAGGTAAAGGACCTATACAAAGAAAACTATAAAACACTGTTAAAAGAAATAGAAGAAGACACAAAGAAATGGAGAGACGTCCCCTGCTCATGGATTGGAAGAATAAACATTATTAAAATGGCCATCCTACCAAAAGCAATATACAGATTCAATGCTATTCCAATCAAAATTTCAATGTCATTCTTCAAAGAAATAGAACAATTATTGATGAAATTCATATGGAATCACCAAAAACCCCGAATAGCCAAAGCTCTCCTGAAAAAAAAAGAAGGGAATGGAGGCATCAGACTCCCAGACTTCAAACTATACTACAAAGCCATAATCATCAAAACTGCATGGTATTGGAACAAGAACAGACATACAGACCAATGGAATCGAATAGAAAATCCAGAAATAAACCCACAGATTTATGGTCAACTAATCTTTGACAAAGGAGCAAAGAATATGCATTGGAGCAAAGAAAGTTTGTTCAATAAATGGTGCTGGGAAAACTGGGTCGCTACATGCAAAAGAATGAAGCTTGACCACCACCTCACACCATACACAAAAATCAACTCAAAATGGATTAAAGAACTAGACATAAGACCTGAAACCATAAAATATATAGAAGGAAATATAGGCGAAACACTACGTGATTTGCACATCAAAGACATCTTTACAGACACATCACCCAAAGCAGTGATAGTGAAGGCAAAGATAAACAGCTGGGACTACATCAAATTAAAGAGCTTTTGCACAGCAAAAGAGACAATAACAAAAACAAAGAGAAACCCCACCAACTGGGAGAACATTTTTGCACCCAACACTAATGATAAAGGACTGATCACAAAAATCTGCAAAGAGCTGATGAGACTGAACAACAACAAAGAAAATAATCCAGTCAAAAAATGGGCAGAAGAGCTTAAAAGAAACTTCTCTGAAGAGGAAATGCAAATGGCCAACAGGCATATGAAAAAATGTTCAACATCACTTGTCATCAGGGAAATGCAAATCAAAACTACCATGAGATACCATCTTACACCAGTGAGAATGGCACATATTAAAAAAACTAGCAACAACAAATGTTGGCGAGGGTGTGGAGAAAAAGGAACTCTTCTGCACTGTTGGTGGGAGTGCAAACTGGTCCAACCACTGTGGAAAGCTGTATGGAGATTTCTGGACCTACTAAACATAGAGCTTCCATATGATCCAGCAATTCCACTCCTAGGTATTTACCCAAAGGACACAGAAACATCAATTCCAAAGAACACCTGCACCCCTATGTTTATAGCAGCACTGTTTACAATAGCTAAGCTTTGGAAACAACCCAAATGCCCAAAAATAGATGACTGGATCAAGAAGATGTGGTACATATACACCATGGAATATTACTCAGCATTCAAAAAAGATAAACACATGCAATTTGCAGCAACATGGATG